TAATGGGGCACCTGGCTGGCTCAGTTGTGGAGCGTGCGACTCTTGATCTTGTGAGTTCGAGCCCCACATTGGGTGTAGAAATTAGTTAAAAATAAAATCTGGGGCACCTGGGTGGCTCAGTCGTTAAGCGTCTGCTTTTGGCTCAGGTCTTGATCCCAGGATCCTGGGATCGAGCCCCACATTGGGCTCCCTGCTCCGCAGGAAGCCTGCTTCTCCCTCTCCCACTCCCCCTGCTTGTGTTCCTGCTCTTGCTATCTCTCTCTGTGGAATAAATAAATAAAATCTAAAATAAAATAAATAAATCTTAAAAAAAAAGGAAAAAGAAAAAACAAATAAGATAACTGAAGTCAGTCTTTATCAGTAACTACTTTAAATGCAAGCAGAGTACATAAACTCCAATTAAAAGACAACTGGAAAGATGGATAAAAAGAATGACCAAATTCTATGCTATCTATAAGAGACTCATTTTGGAGCCCAAAGACAACAATACGTTAAAAGTTACCAGGTACGGGGCGCCTGGGTGGCTCAGTTGGTTAAGCGACTGCCTTCGGCTCAGGTCATGATCCTGGAGTCCCGGGATCGAGTCCCACATCGGGCTCCCTGCTCGGCGGGGAGTCTGCTTCTCCCTCTGACCCTCTTCCCTCTCGTGCTCTCTATCTCTCATTCTCTCTCTCAAATAAAAAAATAAAATCTTTAAAAAAAAAAAAAAGTTACCAGGTACGTCTTTCATACAAATGTTGTAACATGAACTTTTGTTGGGGATACCTGTATAGAAAATCAGAATCTCAACAGACTGAAATTTGTCAAATTGAAATTTGTCAAATATATTGAAATCCATGAGTACATAAGGATATTAGAAATATTTTTTTAAAGCTAATTTATTACCTTCTCAGAATGAAAGAGAACCAATTCATTATCTTGGAAACAGAAGGAAAGAAAACAGAAAAATCCAGCATTTATCCTGCATTTTTATATGAACTGTTCCTCTGGGTAGCCAAATCACAGATGGGGAAAAGCATCTCTTTATGGCTAGTAAATGAAAATGAACAGACAGAAAGATCTCTACTTTGCAGTTCCCACTGAATCAGTGCATTAGGCTCTGATCACCGATGGCATCCATGGCTGCTACCATCACAACAGAAAAACTAGACATCAAGAATGTCTTGATGAAAGAACAGCACCTAGAGTCTTGCCAAAGAGGGTGAACCTGAATGTGGTCAGCTCCCTCGATCCAGCTGCCAGCTTGCAGAGGAACGTGCTGGACCAGTGGTGTTCAACCATGGGCCAAAGGGCCCAGTCCTTCAGCAAACTGTGAGGCCAGGAGAGGCAGGAAGAAGGGTGTGGACAGCCAGATTCGGACACAGAAGCTTTAGTGAACAAGATTATGCTATAGTGTTCATACCACAGTTACACTTGAGCGAGAAGCCGGGACAAACACAAGGAGGAGACCAGAATAAAGGTCCGGAATAGTGGTCGTTTTTGGAGTTGGGAGCAGACCGCATCTGGTTTGAGGTGCATGGAGGGGCTTCGGGGGGTGGCTGGCAAATTTGCAGTGGTGAGCTGAGTGGTGACTGCTGGGAGGTTACAGTAATCCCTATACTATGTTCTCCTTACTTCCCACATCTGATTTTATCCTACGGCAAGGTAAAAAGTTAACATCTACTGTGAGCTTACAACACGTAACGTACTGTTCTAAATTCTTTGCACGTATTAATGCATTCCATTCTCCCAAAAACTACGAAAGACAATTCTCGTTTCTGTTTTACAGATAAGGAGATTAAAATACAGAAATTAAGTTATAACAAACGTACAAAAAGATGCTACATCTCACTAGGATTCAAGGAAATACAAATTCAATCACGACACCATTTTCCCAGCTTTCAGTAGGCAGGAATCTGCGAGTCGGATAATATTACCACAGGCAATTATAGAAAGAACTAGGGACTAGGAACCGTACTTCATATGGAAATGGAAATTCTGCATACACTCTCTACATGGGAAATTCCCGGCAGGTGCATAAGAAGACAGGTACTAAGATATTCACGGCAAACTGTTTGTAAAAAAAAAAAAAAAAAGAAAAAAGAAAACATCAGAAAGGAACAGAATAAATAAAATGTGGTGTATTCATGAGGGAAAAAACACAGCAGTTAAAATGAACTAAATAGCTCTGTAGATAACATGGATGTCTCTCACAAACACATGTAGTGAAAAAAGCAAGCTGCAAAATGAACCATACTGTATGATACCACTTGTTTTAAAAATAGCATAAATATGTATTCTTTGTATACACACTGTCTGTGAAGAGCTAATATTTGCTAGAGGGAAACTGAGTTGTGATCATAGCCTCCCAGGATGGCGAGGGGCTGTGACAGAGTGGGGAGTCAAGAGCATTTCAACGTTATCTATTTTGTTTTATTTTTAAAAATGTAAAGCAGGGGTGCCTGACTGGCTCAGTCAGTTAGGCATCTGAGTCTTGGTTTCAGTTCAGGTCATGGTCTCAGGGTCAGGCTCCGTGCTCAGCAGGGAGTCTGCTTGACACACTCTCTCCCTCTCCTTCTGCCCCTCCCCACCCGACACATGCACATTCTCTCTCACAAATAAATAAATCTTTAAAAAAATAAATAAAATAAAAATGCAAAGCAAATGCCAGATAATGGCTCATCAGTCCGGCGGTGGTGAGTGGGTGTTGTAGGCTGCATCAGTTGGGCCTAAAGCTAACAGAGCACACAGCATGGGAAGGCACAGCAGTTGGGGGCCATCTCAGAGCTGGCCTGCCCCTGGTGCAGGCTCGCATGCCGCCCCTCTGAGCCAGGCAACCTCAGCCATAGGTGGGCCTACCTCTCGGAGTTGCTGCACAGATGAGTTAATACGTGTCAAACTCCAGGAGCAGTGCCTGGCCCAGAGAAAGCGGCCCAGGGATGTGTCACCCAGGGGCAGGGAGGTACCCCAGAGGGGCTAATGGCAGAAAAGACGGGAGAGGTTACTGCTTTATTCCTTGACCAAATTGTTCACCAGCACGTGGATAGGTCTGCTTTGTGAAAACTCATCAAGTACATTTATGATGTATGCACTTTCTGTATGAATGGGACACTTCAATAAAACAGGAAAAGAAAAAAGTACGGAAAAATGTGTCAAACAACACTCTGGACCCAGCAACAGTCTGTAAAGAAAGACGATGACCAAAGAACTAGAGATAGTTTCACTGGAATACTGACAAAAAAGGAAAATGAACTACCAGACATTTCAGTAAATATTCCTTCCAAAGAGGAAATAAAAAGGAGTAAGAGCAAAGTTAGGCACTTACAGAAAAAAAGACATTGTTGCAACAATTGCGGAAATCTCAATTTGAACAAAACGTTACTGCTACATTTGCGAGGAGCGTGTTCTTAAGTATTTATAGACAAAAAAAGACAGTAATTTCTAGAATTTGCTTTAAAATAGCTCAGGGAAGCAAAAGTAAGAGAAGAGCCAAAGGGAGCCTGGCAAGGGCTGGTCCACAATAAAGCCGGGGGTATCGGGGTGTAGGCAGGGCGCTGCACTCTCCAGCTCCGTGACAAAGTCTATTTACAAGTTCTACCCTAAAAAATGAAACTAGTGATGGGTGGGGGGGCCATCCTTTGACTCGAGAAAATCCAGGGATCACTCAAGTGAGGACAGCGCTGTGAGGATCCACCAGCCCCACGACGACCCCGAGCCTGCCGGCGAGTTCTCGCGCCCCCGCACGGCCCCGGGGAGTTACCTGCAGTTCTCCTGGAAGCGGCACTTCCCCTCCAGGAAGAACGGGCAGGGCTTCAAGGACTTGTGCGTGGGGTAGAGGTACAGCACCCGCACGCCCGTGGAGCCATCGTCGGCCTCTTCCGTGCCCACGATCATTGCGTTGTGGTACTCCAACGTGCCCCAGGAGCTGTAGTAGGGCGCGTTCACCTTCCTCCCGCTCCACTCCTCCTCCTCCTGCCCGGGCCCGCTGGGTTCTGGCTTTGCCTCTCGTTCAGGAGCGGTCTCCAGCTCTGCCCCGGCGGCTGCAGGCACCTCCACCCCTTCAGCAACGGCCTTCTGGAAAGCCAGGTACTCAGCATCGTCCTGGGCCGAGGGCTCTCCATCCAGCGCGGCCAGCAGCTTGCTCTTCCTGACGGACACCAGGCTGGCCTCGGTGAGCTCGATGAGCTCCTTCAGGTCCCCCTGCAGCTGGCGCAGGTCCGCCAGCTCGGAGGGATCCAGGCCGGCACCCAGCGCCAGCTCCACCTGCTGCAGCTGGGCGTCGTAGGTCTGCAGGGCGGTCTGCAGGCTCTCCTCGTCCATCCTGGAAGGACGGAAGGCAGGGGCGGGTCCCCGGGTCCTCAGCGGGAGGCGCGGGAGCCAGAGCTGCAAGGAGGAGAAGCCTCTGAGCCCCGGACTGGCCGCCCTTATTGCCAGGCCACCTGTGCGGGGCTGACAGCAAGCCCCGTACCCGCAGCGGCGCTCAGCGGTCCTCACAACAGCCTGCGGAGCCGACGCGGGGCTCCCTCCCGTCTTAGGAACGAGAAAAAGGGCTGGGGAGCTTCTCGGACCCGGCCGCTGGCCCCACAGCCGCGGCTCCCTGCCCTCCGCGCCCGGCGCCCCCCGCCCCGCGGCCCCACCCCCTCCGGCTCCGCTCCGGCCGCGGCCTCTCCGCCCTCGACCCGTCTCCGCTCGACCTGTCACCTCGGGCCCCGGCCCCCTTGCCCCAGATCGCGCCCCCTCGCCCGGGTCGGGCCCCTCCTCCGAGCGGGCTCCCGGCTGCCGCCATAGAGACCCCGCCGGCCTCACCGGCTAGAGCGGCCGGCGCCCCCGCTTCCGCCCTCGCAGCCCACCGGCACTTCCTCCCAAGCGCAGCCCCAGCCGCCGCCGCCGGAAGTGCCTCGCGCGGGGAGCGCCGGGGCGCGGCGCGCGGGGAGCGCCGGGACGGCTCCGCCCTTCGCGGGCCGCCTGCTTGCGTCCCATCGGGCTCCGCGCGAGGTCAGCCCAGGGTCAGCGCAGGTCGGCGGGGTCAGGAGCGCGGCGGCTCCGCGGCCCGCACGGGCGCGAGGTAGGCCGCGGGGCTAGTCGCCGCCTCCCGGGCGGGTGGGGCCGGGCCACGGAGCCGAGGGCGCGGCGGGGACCTGCGGACGGGGCTCAGCCGTGAGACCCGGTGTCCGGCTGGGCGTCGGAGGTCGGGCGCGGGGAGCCCGGGCGGCCTCCCGCCGTGGTCGGTCCGCGCCACCGGCCGGCCGCACGGCCTCTCAGGGGCCGCCGTCTCGCCATCCCCACGCAGCCCCGCTTCTGAAAGCCGCCGGGGGTTCCCGTTGGGAGTCTGCCGGGCACCTGCTGGGGGCGGGGGGCGAGGGCCGGCCGGGGGCGCCGCCGAGCCCTGGGAAGCCTGACGTCTAGGCCAGGACGGGGACGGGACCTGCCCCGCCTCCGGGAAGCTGCGTGCGCGGGGAGGGGCGGGGGCGGAGGGCGGCCCGGGGAGGAGTTGGGGCGGGCGTGGGGGCCCCCTCCCCTCCCCCCAGGGTGAGCACGAAGCCGGGTCGGCCCACGACCCGTGTCTCCCGCCGCACAGGGCAGGATGTATACGCTGTTGTCGGGCCTCTACAAGTACATGTTCCAGAAGGACGAGTACTGCATCCTGATCCTGGGTCTGGACAATGCCGGCAAGACGGTTGGTGCTTGTTCCTGGTCAGCACTCCTCCGAGGGCGCTGGGGATCCATAGCCCTCGCTGCATGTTTACCGTCCTCACAGAATCCCAACCCCGTCGAAGGCTGCCGGCTGGTCCCGGCCTGCTGCTGTAGACCCAAGGAGGGATGTTTGGGAAACGGGCTTGGAAGGACCCGGCTCTTACTTGCTGTACGTTTGTCTCTTCTCAGACGTTCCTGGAACAGTCAAAAACTCGGTTTAACAAGAACTACAAGGGGATGAGTCTGTCCAAGATCACTACCACCGTGGGTCTGAACAGTAAGGGGGTCCCTTAGGGCTGTGGGTTGGGGGGCCGATCCCACAGGCCAGCCGGCAGATGGTCAGCAGCTCCCATGGGCCCCGCAATCCGGGAGCCCCAGAGCAGCTCTTCCCTCTCCCGGAGACCAGGGCCCCGGCGTCACCTGTCCCCCTCTCTCCCCAGTCGGCACTGTGGACGTGGGGAAGGCTCGCCTCATGTTCTGGGACTTAGGGGGCCAAGAAGAGCTGCAGTCTCTGTGGGACAAGGTAAGAGAGTCGCCACACACGGTCCCCAGCCATGTGCTCCCATGTTTCTCTAGGTGACACCCTCTGCCCATCCTCACCTTCCTCAGAGGCTGCAGATTCTCCTCGTTCCTTTCTCGTGAGCAGCTTTGTTCTTGAGGTTACCCCCAGTCTTAGTCCAGCTCCCGTGTCCTTCCCGGAAGAGCAAGGACACACTTAGTTCCTTTTGACTTAGAGATTTTTGGGCTAATCACCATAGGACAAGACCAGAGGTGGCCGAGAGACAGATGTGGGGAAGGGACAATGTCTGCGGGATGCTCAGCGTCACCACTGGGGCCTGAGTCTCCATGGCTGGGCCCCCTTTCCTCTGCCTTAGGACTTGTCTTCTGTGGTGGCCTCTGATGCATCAGGGGAGGGGGTCCTCACAGGCCTATAGCCACTGCCTCCTCCCTGACATAGGTTTGCGGCACTTCTGGGACCCCAGTGTGATGCTCTTTCTCCCAGGCACTCCACCAGTGTGCTCATTTCAGCTCGGCTGGTGCCGGGCCCTGTGGTCCAGCAGTGAGCTGGACAGACCTAGCCTCTGCCTTCGGCAACCCCCTCCTTGTGGATTTGGTGCAGCCCAACACTGGGGGCACAGATGGGCCTGTCCCAACGCTGGCAGTGCTGGTGCGCTTGCCCCGATTGTGGGAGCGCAGGAGTGCTCACCCTGACGCTTACTGGTTGTCAGATGCTAGAACTGAGCATCCAGGTCCTGAGTTTGGTTTGCCTGCAGCAGCTGGGACCCAATCACCTTTTCTCAGTCTCCTTCTAAAGCGATTTCTGCTGTAGTTTCTGTCTGGTGGCTAGAAGGTCACCAACAGATTCTCTGGCCATTTAGGTTGGGCTGCCCTCCAGGCAGAGCGAAGCCAGGGCCTGCTTTTCTGAACCAAGACCCACGTGGAGAGGGAAACAGGACCTGACATTCTGTCACAGAACAGGGTCTCAGGAGCAGACACTGAGATGGAGGTTGGGGTGCAGCTTGTATGTTGAAGACTAGCTCCTGGGAGGGAAGCTGGGAGAATGTGGGACTGGGCAGGGGGAAAGGTCAGCTCAAGTGGGTGGCCCAGCAGGGACCCCTGCAGGAGAATCGCTCCTCACAGCTGCCCCACGTCAGGCCAAGCTGACCAGGATTCTTACTGCCTGGTCCATCACCACGGTGGGCTGCCTTGGGCATCTGTGATTTGGGGAGGCGGCTCTTGAGTTCAAGCACATCCTGCAGGAGCCAACAGGTTCATCCCCTGGATCCACTGGGCGCACTGCCCGCCGCTTGCACCCACAGCTCTGCCTGGGGCACGGCTTCTCCAGGGCTGCGTCCTCCACCCTAGCTACCACACCTGCTGGTGGTGTGGCTCATCACGAGTCTGAACCCCTGGTTGGTGAGCCCCACTTCTCTGGTTGACCTCTGGGTTCCTCATGAGCTTCCCGGCCCCCCGTGGAGCAGGCCCCCTGCCTCTGCTGTTGGGGTCGGTTATCCCTGCCAGGGCGGGGTCTCTGCTGGTCCCTGAAGCCACGGTGTCCGACGTGGCCAGCAGGCAGCCAGAGTTCGTGACTCAGCAGGTCTCTTGCCCAGTCTTTGGTAAAAGGGTGCCTTGGTGGTGACCATGCCCTCAACCCTTTAGGGCCCAGAGCTGTGAGGAGGGGCGGCAGAGCTCCCTGTGGGTCAGCAAGAGGGATGGGAAGTAGAGCTGCTTCTTCCCCTGTTCCCAGATGCTGCGTCCCAGGGCGTGGCCGCCTGCACAGTCTGGCACCGGATGCTGTGTTGGGCTTGCTATCGTTTTGTCCTCGGCAGATGACTGGTGGGCCTTCCCTGTGTCCACTGCCTCCACCCAGGCTGTGTGCTGCTGCCCAGGGGTCTGTCCACATACCAGCCCTGGGCCACAGCTTCCCACACAGAGGAGACTGGTGGATTACTGTGCCTGCCACAGGGCACTCCTGGCCTCTGTCCCTCCAGGCCACACCTGAAAGATCTCCAGTACATGGCCATGGGTGATGCTGCCGTCAGGGTGCCTTGGGGTCGAGGCAGCCTGCTGTGTCCTCAGTCCTGCTCATGCTCAGCCCCACGTGTCCAGCTCCTGTTGCTCTCACCACTGCCGGGCCATCCCCTGACCACCCGTCTGCCTGGGCTGGGTCACACACTGCAGGCAGGGGTTGTGAGGTGACCCTCTCCCTGGGCTTGCTGCCAGCCCCATGCAGCGGCCCTTCCTGCCATGGACACCTCTGCTGTCGGGTTGGCCAGAGCACCTGCAGCAATCCCCCTCCCCCCCCCCCCGTCACCCAGCGTGTAGGCTTGGGAAGTTGCTGTGTGTGTGACTTGGCGGCCTGCAGAACCCGGATGGCCACCTGTGTTGGGCTTCCTTCTCTGCAGCAAGCGCAGATACAAAGCCTGTCTCATATGGGGCGAGTGGGAGGTTTCAGCATGCCCTGGTTACAACCTGAGAACTTCCCGGAGTTGTTAGGCCTGTTCCTCTTCAGGGTCTTCCGTTCACCAGCCCTAGGCTTGTCCTGCCTCTTGTCACGTCGTGTGTAACGTGGATGTCCCAGGTTTCTGGGCTCTTGTCACAGTTGGGGCAAAGATGCTGTCTGCTTAGCAGATGTGGGCACTTCCAGTCTTCTTTTCTGATTGGGGTAGACGGCAGACTCACCAAATCTGTGGCTGCATCCCCCATCCCCACACTCCAGGGGCCCACCCCTCACATGCCCCACTTGGTGCATCTGTCCAGTTTTGTCTGCACAGAACTCTTCCCCAGGCCCTGGGCTCTGGCACCATTGCCGTATGCATGCCTAGCACTGATCGCTGTCCTGACCCCAGTCCAGCCCGCGGAGCTCCGTGTTGCTGGCCTGCCTGGTCCTTAGCCTTGCCTCTCCCCTTGGTGGTCTTTGTGACTTATCAGTGGTATGGCCACCACAGTTGCCGTCCACACTGGCATGTGATCTGGTTAGTGCCCTCCCTCTACTTCCAGAACTGTGTGGGGACCAGCTTGGTTTGGGCTCCAGCTCCCAAGTCCTGTCCTTCCCCTCCAGCCACCATCGGGCCAGCAGTCATGGGTGGTTTTCAGGAGCAGATGCTGAAGTGGAGTTTGAGGGCACAGCACCTGGGAAGTGGACAGAGGGTGGTGGCCACCCCCTGCCCAAGGTCAGCAGGCCCCCCCTGAAGTCTAGGGCTGCATCGCCACTCCGCCCTACCTTCCCACCCCCTAAAGGCACCCCAGAAGGGCCTTCCAGCTGGGGAGGGGTGGCCCGGTGCCTGTGGCCCAGCACCCCCTTTCTGCTCCTCCCCAGTACTACGCAGAGTGCCATGGCGTCATCTACGTCATCGATTCCACGGATGAGGAGAGGCTGTCAGAGTCCAAGCGGGCGTTTGGTGCGTACAGCCTGGCTAGGGCTGGGAGGGGCTGGGGACGGTCAGGTGCAGAGTGTCTGGAGCACGCCTTGGCAGGGGTGGGCCCACACCAGGCGGGTGGGGCCGTGGCCAAGCGTGAGCACACAGACGTGCAGAGAGGTGGGCGGGCCTCCGCAGTCAGAGGCAGGTGAAGGGGACTCCCCGCCGCATTTCTGTGCACCCAGAGAAGATGGTGACGAGTGAGGCGCTGGACGGTGCCCCCATCCTGGTGCTGGCCAACAAGCAGGACGTTGAGGTGAGCCCCTCATCGCAGCATCCCCACCTGGGGTCCCCAGAGTAAGCGTACCCCATCGCCGGGAGCTGGGGGACAAGGTGCCCCCAGCTGGAAACCCCAAGCCGTGTGTGTTCCGGGTTCACGGAGCCCTCCCAAGGTGCAGGCTTCTCTCCACGGGAGGGCAGGCGTGGCCTATCCCTCTGCCCCTGGCGTGGCTGGAGGTGTGGCAGGGAGACCCTATGCGCAAAGGGATCCCAGGGTGGGAGTCCGCTCCAACCTTGGCCAGTCTGCTGCCCTTGGGATTGCCTCAGCTGGGCAGTGGCTGCTCCGTGGCCGTCTGCTCTGTTCTGGAGGGGGTTCTGCGGGGCAGTGACGGTGCCATGGCAGTCTGCTCGGTGGGGTGGGGGGCTCTACGGGGCAGTGGCTGCTCCGTGGCAGTCTGCAGGGGTGGAGGCTCTGGGGGGCCTGTCTCTGCAGCATGTGTGTCCTCGGGTCAGGGGCATTGGAGGTCACTTTGTGTGGTCTGCCCCTCACTTCCTGTGGACCGTCGGTGCTACTTCCTTCCTCTCTCCGAGACCACTCATCGCAGGATGCCTCTAGGCAGAGAAGCCCTGAGCCCAGCCCCTCACCACCAAGACCGTGTCCTGCCCCAGGGGCCAGGGCGTTTCCTGCAGTGCCTAGGACCCTGCTCCTCACTGCTTCGCCTTCCCCCAGACTTGTCTCTCGATCCCTGACATCAAGACTGCATTCAGCGACTGCACCTCCAAGATCGGCAGGCGCGACTGCCTGACCCAGGCCTGCTCGGCCCTCACGGGGTGAGTGGGGCTCTTGCCCCAGGGGCTGGGGTCTCCAGCCGGCCCCCACCTCACGCCTGCTGTCTCCACAGCAAAGGGGTACGCGAGGGCATCGAGTGGATGGTGAAGTGCGTCGTGAGGAACGTGCACCGGCCGCCGCGGCAGAGGGACATCACGTAGGCATGGCTGGTGCCCGCTGGTGCCCACGACATCCCTGAGTGCCAGAGGAGTGCTCCTGCTGGCTCCCTGCTGCCAGTCCTGGGGGTTGGGTTTGCTTGGCTCTCGGTTCTTCATTTGCTTTGTTTTTTCTTTAAGACAAACTTTTCCTTGTGTCCGTACAAGTGTAGGTATCGGGAGGCTTCTGCTGCGGGGAGTTGGGGCAGCAGGGCCCCCACATGACCCCTGCCGGGCCTGCTGGGGTGAGGTCTCCCTTTGGAGCTGCTGCCTCAGCAGCCCTGCCTGCCTTTCCCAGGGGGTCCTGTCTGGAAACGGGCTTCCCCGGAGCTGCTCCGTGTAGGGCCCCCCCCCCCAATGCAGGAGGCCCTTGGGGTCATGACTGTCCTTGGTCTCCGTGGAGATGGGTTGGGGGCTGGCGTCCTCTTGAGGGAGGGAGACCTGGCCCCCTTTGCTGGAGGCCAGCAGGGCCCTGGGTTCTGGGGCCCTCGGGACGGGGCACGGGAGATTGTCCACTGGCTTGACATCACCTTTTGATCCCCAGCAGGAGGGGAAGGAGCGAGTGTCTCCTCTCCGGGTGTCTGTGGCCAATCTGGGACAGCCAGTTGCCCGCATTGGGGGTGGGGGTGCATGGTGGGGGCGTTGGGAAGGTGGGCTGGGTTCCTGTGGAGCCCGGGTTGGTGCTGTGCCGGGCCTTCATTCCCAGCTGGGGGTGACGGACAGGCGTCTGGGCTGTGCCTGGCAGCAGGGCCCCCTCTCCGGGTGAGACTGGTCCTGGGGACCCTCCCGACACGGCCCCCACTGGAGCTGGCAACAGCTACTGGCTGGGGTGTGTCCAGAACAGCAGTCCGAGTTGCTGCTGGCCATCGCCCCTCCAGGAACCCGATCCTGGGTTGTGGACTTCCGGCTGTCTGGGCACAGTGACCACGGCACAAGGGGCTCCCAGGGCTGGAGCTGTGACCTACCCGGGCACCGGGCTGAGCCAGAGCCGGGCACCTGGTGGCTTCCTGAGGTCCGGTCCCTGGTGGAAGCCTGGGAGGGGTTGCTGAGAAAGGCTGAGTCAGGGCTGGGGGCGGGGAGGCAGCTGCAGGTGAGGTGACTCATAGGGAGTCGTGGGCTCCTCATGGGGATCAGGCCCGGCGCTCCAGGGTCCATGGGACAGGCTGGGTGGGAGTCCCCCAGGCTGCTCGGGAGCCATCCAGCCCTTCTCTGAGCCTGCCTGAGGGGAAAAGCCTTGTTTCCCAGAAAAGGTGTGGGACGCACCCAGCCTGGGGGAGGTCCTTGGCCGGTCTGGTCCTGGGAAATACCCCGCGTGCTGGGACTGGGTGGGGCTCACTTGGAGGGGCAGGGAGGGGGGGCGGGGGGGTTTGGTGGCACAGGGCACAGGCTTCTGCTGCCTGGTCTGAGCTGGGTCCTGTTGCACAGCAAGAGCCCCTAGACTTGGTGTGACCCTCCCTCCACACTGTCGTAGCCCCAGAGCGTGACCTAGGGGGTCATGGAGCGTGCCTCAGGGACATCTGTGGTGTCCACAGCTGGAAGGGATGCACCTGCTGCCCGCTGGCGTGTCTAATGATCCCTCCCATCGAGGGTCTGTCCCACTTGGGGCGACCAGCAGGCAGAAGAAGCGTGGGGAGCTTGAGGGCCCACCCGAGGGGGTGTCCCCACCAGATGTGCCCACCATGCAATCCGTAGACAAACATAGTTTCACACAACCCATTTTACAAAACGGCTTTATAAAAAATAAAAAAAGTTAGTGCAACAGGAGCCTAGTCGGTCAGTTGAGGTTACTTTGGTGCCATGGGGATGATGCCCACGTGGGGCCAAAGCTTGGGAGCAGAATAAACGGGGGGCAGGGTGCTCAGTGCACCCAGAAGCGTGTGCGGACACTGCGCTCCAGCCCAGGCAGCCTGGCCTCCCGCAGCGCCCCCAGCAGCCGCGCCCCCAGCGCCCCAGCCTGTGCGCCCCGGAGCTCCGCGAGCAGCTGCCGCAGCTTCAGCTGCAGGTCTGTGCGGCCCTCCCTCGGTGCCACCAGACTTTGGGCCTCCGGGCCCGCCAGAACCTGCCACAGCCGCAAGAGCCTCTTGGAGGATATGTCCTGGAAAGCCACGAAGTCGATGACGGCGCGCTCGCACTCCTCAGCCCCTGTGGGAGGGTCAGGACGCAGTGGTAGAGGCCTCCGTCCGCCCCGGGGGGACACCCAGCAAGAGAAGTCCCTGCCCGTGGGTTCAGGGCAGAGGTGGAAGGCCGGGCCAGCAAGGAGGTGCGGGCGTGCTGGGGGGCAGGCACAGGGCTGGGAGAGGCCAGGGGCCCCAGGGTGCAGGGGTGAGATGACACGTCACTGCTGTGTGACCTCCAGAAAGCGGTTTAGACTCTCTGGGACTCCGTTTCCCCCGGGGGGTGGAGAGCATCACCTGCCCGCATTGAAACCACAGAGGCCAGCTAAATGCTTCGTGCTCCAGAACTGCCCTCGCCCCGCTCCCCTGGCCCCTTCCCCCCCCCCCCACCCCTCCACTCACCTGGCTCCCCTGGCGCCACGGTGCTGAGCGGGAAGCCCGTGCAGCTCGTGCACAGGGCATCGTGGAAGGAGGAGCCTGGCACGTTGAGGACCAGGCCCAGAGCCGTGCAGTTACGGTGGGGCTGGCACTGCTCGGAGCTGGAGCTGCTGGCCGAGAAGGTGCCCGGGGGACATGGCTGGCACTGCGTGTTCTGGCTGGGGGTGCCTGCGGACGAGATGGGGAGGAAGGGGTCAGGGGGAACTGGGGTGCTGTCCTCAGTGGTGGCTGACGTCCGAGGCTGCTACCCACCAGTCCCGCCGCCCACCCGGACCCCCGCGGCCCACCGGGGACAGCCACGCCGGTGCCGGGTGGGCAAGGGGCGTGCTCCAGGCAGAAGCCGGCGTGCGCGAAGAAGCCGGGGCGGCAGCGGCAGGCGCGGTTGTGGGTGGCCTCGCAGGGCCGCGCCTCCTCCTCGCGCTCCCCGCAGATGACGTTGCAGTAGCGGCAGCGTTCCAGGTAGTTCCAGAACTGGGTGTAGTGACGTGGAGGACACGCACCGCACATCGTGGGGGTGTCCCGGCCGCACGGCCGCTGCACGAAGGTGCCTGGGGGGCACTGGCTGCACACCAGCCACTCCCGAGTCTCCGCGTCCCGCCACGGGTAGGTGAGCGCGCCCGCCGCCGCGGCCGTGTGCGCCGCCAGAGCCAGCAGCAAGGTGGGCAGCGCGCTCGGCCGGGTCAGGGGCGGTGCGCCCCGCCTCTCCAGTGTCCACATGGCGCTCACTGGGGCAGCGGCTCGGTCTCCGCGGTGCCCAGGAGCAGGGACACACCAGGACGACGCGCCCAGGCACCGGCAGCCCCGCCCTCAGCCGCTGCCGCCCCACTCTGACGGGCTGTGGTGGTGGCCTATATGGGCTGGCCTTGCCACGCCCCTGGGGGAGGACTCACGACCTCCGGGGGGCCACACTTTGACCCGTGACCCGGTTCTCTGCAGCGTCACCACCCCGCGGTCCCTCCCTCACCAGGAAGCACCCTCTCCCTCCCCCCGTCTGGCGCCAGCCTGCTTGAGAGCGGAGTCCGGGGATCGGGCCTGGGAGGGCGGCCCCCTGCACCAGGACCAGCAGCGGGGGTGCTGGGACGTGGGGATGTCCCAGGCTCTGCTCCCCTCGGGTGTGCCGCATCTTCCCACCCCGCTGGGCGGACAAAGTGCTCGGCATGCCCTTGCGCGGACAGGGTGGGAGGGAGACACCACTCAGACGCCCACATCTTCCCAGCACCCTCAACCCCTCCGCCAAGCCCCAGTACGGTGTCAGCAACTTTATTAGACAACCGGTCACCTGATTAAAAGCAGGTCCACAGCCCACACACGTCCCGCAGAGGAGGGAGCAGAGGGCCCCCCACCTTCCAGTCCTGAGCTCCTGACGCTCCACCCACAAGCCGGCAGCCAAGGGAAGTGAGCCAACCCACCCCAGACCCCAAGGTGGCTTCGGGGCGTCTAGGTGGGCGCAGACCCCCTCAGGGAGACCCGTGTCCACGCGGTGTCAGCCTGCCCCAGGGTCTCCATGCTCAATGGGGCTCTGGCCAGAAGACCTGCGTGATGCTCTGCTTCCTGGCGGGGGCATGGCAGGCCGGGCATGTTCTAGAAGCCTGTGGAGACAGGGAGCACTGCACAGGCGCCGCTGCCCGCCCCTCCCCAGCCCACCGGGTGGGGGACAGCTGCCCAACCGCGGCCAACCTGGAGGAACTGGCACCAGCAGGCCCGGCAGCGCTGGAAGTCACAGGAGGGGCACTGGAAGGGGACCGTGTCCTCTGCCCTGCAGCCAGGGCACGCCAAGCCTGCTGCGAGGGGGCCGCTGTGAGCATGCCGCAGCTCGTCCACCCCGCGGCCACCACTGCCTGTGGCCCCTCCCGAGACCTACCCGACTCGGACGGGGCGTGCCTGCGGGCGGCGCTGGGAGGCTGGCTGGGAGCCCCGCCATCCCCAGCCTGCCTCCGGGTAAGGAAGGCCGACAGCTTGCTCTGGGTCCTCCGGGGTGTCTCTTGCTGGGGGGGCCCTGGAGACAGAGGGGCGAGTCTGACGGGGCGGGCGGCTGGGGCTTCTCTGCCTGCTGGGCTGAGTGGGGCTCGGGGGACACTGGATTACCTGGCCTGGAAGCACCGTGCGCGAGGTCGGGAGGCACAGTGGGGCTCCCCTCCTGGGGCCCTGGCGGCCCAGTACCTGTGCTCCGGGCAGCCGGGCCCATCAGGTCTGTGCACGTCTGCCGGAAACGCCGCTTGTGGTGGGGTCGCAAGAACATGCCAAACCCTGTGGGGGGAGGGTCAGGCTCAGCCCTGGCCCCAGTCCCTCCCAGCCCCCCCACCCCAAGTCCCCTCCGTGGCCACTTGCTCTGCAACAGGGGCAAGTCCCCAGGCCTTGAGGTTGTGAGTGCGGCCACCACGGCCACCACCTTCTCGAAGTCATCGTCCTGTTTGTAGGCGGTCAGTGCCGCCAGGAGCTCGCTGCAGCCCGCGGACCCCAGGGCCTTTCGGACATCCGCCAAGTAGGCGCTCACAGCAGGCTGGCCTTGCTTCTCTGCGCCGGGGGCTCTGCACCCCTCCTTGGGACAATTGCTGGGGTCTCCTGGTGAGAAGGTAACAGGTCTTGGACCACGCCAGGGGTCTGGGGGCCCAGAGAGCTCCACGGGCGTCCTGAGAACCCCTTCACACCAGCCGCCACCCTCGCTCTGGAAGTGCAGAACCAGAAGAGGCCCCCGCCCCCACCCCACCCCCCTGGAGACTCCTCCCCGCCAGGGGTCTTCATCTATTTCTGGTTCAGGGACGGGTACCTGCAGGGGCTGGCCCGGAGACCAGGTGGGGTCTGCCTTGGTTCAGGTGCTGTCCGGGGTCCAGCTGCCTGGCTGCACCCTGGGACAGGGTCAGCTTTGAGTCCCACTCCTTCCCTCCTGAAAGAACACGGACACATGAAGAGCTATCCAGCTGGTCCCCAAGGGTCTGGAGTGCTCCCCGGGGAGAAGGCAGGTCCATCCAAGGGGAGACTGAGACCAAACCCTCCTCAGACCACAGCAGGGAGACCCAGATTTGCACCCAGGCGGATGGCATAGAGACACCCCAGTGGACACCAAGCCCAGAAAGGAGAGGGGTGACTCTCAGGCTAGAAGATCCCCTGCTAGGGGTCAAGGGGTCTTCCTAAACCAGGTCCCCATGACACCTGTCCTTGGGGAAGTCCCTGCTCAGGGGTCGGCTACTGAATGGGGACAGAAGCTCCCAAGCTCTGGAGGTGCAGGGCCCACCATGCTTGTGCGACTCACAGGGGGCCTGCGCCTGGGCCGTGCATGCTCTGGGGGGCACACACATGCAGTTGCCTGCCCTGCTCTCAGGGGGTGGGTTTGAGGGTCCCGCTCACCACTGGGGGCCTCGGCTGCTGGTGCCCACTGCCTCTGAGGAAGGCTGTGCTCGGGCCAGAAGCCGCAGCCGCGGCCCGTCTGCTGCAGGCAGACCTCCTCAAACCGCTGCTTGTGGTGCGGCCGCACGAACTGGTAGAAGCCTGTGGGGAGGGGCGTCTGGGCTTGCGGGCTCCACCGTGCGGCCACCATGCTGAGCCGGGGGCTCTGGGATCACGGGCCACCCACCCCCACCTTCTCTAGGGACCCTGGTGCCCACCCCCTCCAGCGGCTGTGGCACTGCCCCTCCCCCCCGATGGGTGACCGCTGCAGGCCAGAGCACCTTGGAGCAGGCTGTGCTTCTTGGGGTCCTCAGCAAAGAGTGGGCCAAGGCAGCCCAGCAAAGCCTCCACGTCGTCGGAGCCCTTGTAGTCCTGCAGGGCCCTGGTGAAGGTGTCGAAGCTGGCCTGGCTCAGTGCCTGCTTCACGGCCACCATGAACAGCTTGGCCCTGCCCACCTGTGTACCGGCAGCCGGCCCCTCCTGCTCAACACAGGACCAGACGCCCCATCAGCCGGGGCCACCATGCTTCCCCGAGGGGTTGCCACTACTGCAGAGAGCAACTGCTGGGAAGGATGCCCTCGTCCCGAGGCACGGTGACGCCGGGCTGGAGGGAGGGGATCGTGGCGGCTTCAGTTTAAGGCAGACGTGCCCCTCTGGGAGCAGAAGAGGCCAAGTGCAGATCTGTTCACCCTGGGCTGGGGGCTCCTGGCCCTCTGCCAAGTCCCCTGCACCCACGCAGCAGGCGGCCCTGGCTCAAGGGGCAGTCAGCTCACAGGAAGGGGTACTTCTTGACATCCCCACGCCTCCTCTCTGCTGCACATCTCAGGCCCACACACTGGACCCTCAGCAGGGAAGCCCAGAAAGCAGACAGGAGAGGTCCAGGCTCCCCAGTCTCTGTCCAGCTTGGCTGGATGCCAAGGCCCCTGGCACCCTGCCCACTTCCCGACAGCAAGAGTCCCCCCCCAGCCCCGCCCAGTTATTCCCAGAAGCTGAGGGACATGGACAAAGACAAGTGGTGCATGGGGCTTTCCAGAGCTTTCCTGGCTCAGATTAGCTCAGGGGCCTCTCAGTGCTTTCCTCTGAGGCTGGCTGAGAAGCAGGCCCTCCCCACAGCGGGGCACGTTAGCGCCCACACATGAGCACTGACTGGGGGAGCTGGTCTGGCTGCAGGCCCCACACCAAACCTGACTTCTGTCCGGCTGGACCCTGGCGTACCATCCATAAAGTGCTCTCCCAGAAAAGCAAAACTAAATGCGAGGCCCAAAGCTGACCACGAGTGTGCAGGACTCAAAAGTACGGAGGAGCCACCCCAGGTCGAGGAGACACTGTGGGGCCTGGGGAAGGCAAAGAAGGTCAGGCAGGGCAACGCTGCACGGCTGGGGCGCAGGCTGCTGCTGAGAGCTCTACGGGCCTCTGAGATGCTCTCACAGTAAAAAGTTAAAATGGAAAAGAGACTTGGAACCTCTGCGGGGCAGGGCCCTGACACAGCGGCACAGATGCTGGGAGGCAGCAGAGACCACGCAGCCTAAGCCCAGGGGGCAGAAGGAGGTCCTGGGAGTGGTCAGAACAGGCTCATCCACAAAGACATGAGGCTGAGAAGACGCTCATTTAAACGTTCCAGCCAAACAAAGGCGGGGATGGCGCCGGCCTCGGACAGCCGAGGGTACAGGGCCACGCTGCCCCCCGGGAAGGCAGCGAGGAGGCCCTGCCTCAGACCCGGCCCCCCACCTCACACTCCCCGGTCAGCATCGGGGGCCATGCAGCCTGGGGCTCCTGCCCTCACCCCACCCCCATATGCATGTGGGTGCTTCACGTACCTGGCGACCACCGACCACCCTGATCTTCCTCCGCCCTGCTCTCTGCTCCTGGGCACGCCTCTTCTCACGTGGGAGGGGCACGGTGGAGAGGCCTTGTGCCTGAGGGTGACACAGAGTGGTCCTGGCCATGCCCTCCGAGCCCCCAAAGCCCCCTGTGACACTGCCGGGGCCCAAAGCTGGGGAGACGGGCCCTCTCCTGAGTCAGCACAACTGGGCTCCCTCGTGGCTCGCGGCCCAGGCAGTGAGCTGCTACAGTGCCTGGGGGGCTCAGATGGCAGGGGCGGGGTGCTACCACCCGCTGGCGCAGCTGGGCTCACCCCAGGGCCCACGGAGCGGGACACGGAAGGGCGGGGACGCGCCCAGAGGCGAGCAGGGTGCAGGGAGCTCCAGGTCCAGCCAGAGCTAAGCTTCAGTGCGAAAGCTCCAGGGGAGGAGCTGTGTTCCCCCACAGCTCGGGACCCCAGAAAGGGCTGGCCTCTGGTGGAGTAGGAGCCGGACACTGACGGGCCCGTGTCAACTCCCACAGAGCCCACAGGGGGTGCAGGGTGAACCCCAGCTGAGGGCCCGGGGCAGGGCAGGCACAGCGCGGCCAGGTGGCAGAGCGCGGGGGGGGTGTCCGTCTGTGGAGCCCCCGCACCTCCTCCTCCCCAGGGGAGGCCTTGTGCCCAGGTCCCCCGGCCAGCTGCTCATTGTGCTCGAGGGCGGCCAGCAGTCCCACAGGCCTCCGCTGGGTGAGGCCTGGCTCCTGCCCGTACTCCACACACAGGCTGCTCTCGGCGTCCCTGACGGCTGGCGATCCTGCGGAGCACAGGCATCAGCAGCAGAGCCCACGGGGGACGGGAGGGGGCGGCTCAAGTCAGGTCGTCCCCCCCGGCCCCCGCAACACTCGGGCTCAGCCAGGCACTCTGGTCATCGGGCCAGGCGTGCCACCAGCTGGCTGGAAGCGGCCCCAGGCCCCTGCCCTGCAGGGCCCCCAACCGGCTGTGTCACCCAGGCACACGCACCTGCAGGTCTCCACCTCAGGCTGGGGACGTGCACGTCCAGACTCTTGGCTTTCCTGGTGGAGAGGAGGCCAGGCGACACAGCCACCAAGACAGCACCTTCTCCCTCAGCCAGACTTGGGGCAGCAACCAGGGGGGCTGGCACAGGCATCTGCACAGGCACAGGGGGTTGGGGGTCCTGCAGAGACCCTTCCCCTGGGTAGGGCATGAGGACACAGCCAGCCGAGCATTAGGAACTCACAGTTTTCTGAGCAACACGGAAAAACTGGGCCACATCCCGAATGACGTGGCCAAAGCTGTCATACACCTTGACGTGGGGGCGCACCCAGGAAGGCAGCTGGGCTCTGGCGTCCGCATGGGTGAACCTGGCAGGGGGTGGCTGTCAGCTTGGGAGCTCTACCCAGCCCACAGCCCACAGCCCACAGTCCAGGCCCAGGCCCAGGCCCAGGCGTGCCAAGGGAAGGACCAGCGCCCAGCTGGTGCCCAAAAGGCTGCGGGGCAGGGGTCTTGTGCGAGCCGCAGAGAGCCACACCTGTGGTCACACAAGAAGACAGCCCCGTAGTCCTGGCGATGCCGGATCACCCGTCCGATGGCCTGGTTCACAGCCCTGGACGCCTGCTGCCGGTACCACTCGTGCCCAGAGAGGAGCTGGGGGGGCGGGGGGCTCGGTCACGGGGGCTCCAACCCTTCCTTACCTGCCCCCACACAAGCCTGTGGCCCCTCACCTGGCCTCCAGGCCCACTACGGCCCTTCAGCTCGTCTAGGAACTGCATCTTGAGGACAACCCGGGGGTCCATCCGTGGAGGGTACGGCAGGCCCGTGACAATCACACCTCGGCCGTTCATGTCCGCGAAGTCCAGGCCCTCGCTGGCCTGGGGAGCAGTGGGTACTCTTTTCCCCCGTCTGCCATGCCCAGACCCTCAGAGGCACGGGCATCCACATATGGGCGGGGAGAGGGAGGCCTCCCACCCCCGGGCTAGGCCCTCCGTGGGATTCACAGCCCCCAGGGCCTCTCACATTTGCAGAACGCCCGCCGTCCTTCCCACCTGCGGCTCGAGGGGGCGCTCACTCCCAGGGATCCACTGCTTGTCCACTGCCCAGTGAGGGACAGCAGGGCTATGCCCCCCTAACGCACGCTTGCTGGACTTGGGGCTCCGGGGAGGGGGTCGGGCTGGCCCATCCCACCATGTTGCAGCCCCCAGGTCACAAGCTGCGAGCTTCCCCCCAGCACAGGGACCAGACAGGGGCCAGTGAGTATGGGACCCAGACCCTTGTCAGCCTCACCTTCCCCCGGCACACGGCCAGGAAAGAGGCCCCACTAGACCCAGGGGAGGCGACTCGTGTATAGTAGGCGTCCACCACCTGGAAGGAGAGACTGGTCAGTCCCTTCCTTTTGTGGGAGTGAGACCCCAGGTCTCATCCTCTGAGATGAACAGCTGTCCGGCTGGGAGGTGGGCCAGCAGGATTCTAGGAGCTTCCTCACAGCACGGGTTCCCAGGCTGACCCAGAGCCTGCTCAATGTTTCCCAGAAAGCATGGGGACCCCAGGGCGGGGGATGGTGGAGCGTTGCTTCAGTGTTGGCCCCTCAGACACAAGGGCCTGGGGCAACTTCCTCAGAGGAGACAGGTCAGGTCCACGCGAGCCCCTGGTCAGGGACAGTGGCCAGCCCAGGGCAGCCATGAGGGGCAGTGGAGCCCTGAGAGCTCAGACCTCTGAGAAGCCACCTTTGCTCCTTGGCTCCACAAACACAGGCTTCAGGGCCTCCAGCTTCCTGGCAAAGTCATGGGCCTGTGAGAAGAAATGGGGAAAGAGACACCCGTCACGCCTGTCAGATCTCAGACCAAGGCATGTGCCCTGGCCCTGCCAGACCCTTGGCTGCTTGGGGCTCCCCACCCCACCCGGGACACACAGAAGGGGGACGCACCCGCCAGAACTCCAGGCTTTTCTCCATGACGGGGTAAGAAGGGAAGAAGACCAGGAGCCCATGGGGGACCACGCGGGCGATGTTGCCTAGAAGGGCCATGGCTGTGCTCAGCAGGATGGGGTGTTCACAGAGGCTGCCAATGGTTCCCACCAGGGAAAGCAGGCGCGGCAGGGGTCCCCAGACACCCGGGAATGGGGTGGGAGCCCAAGACGGAGCTCAGGGCTTCCCACGGGCACTCACCTAGCGCCTTACCCAGGGAGGACAAGCATGCATCAGAAAACCTGCACAAAGCCAAGAGCCCACGGTCACAAGGGTCCTGGCACGTGGCACACAGCCAGCCCACCTCCTCATCCACCAGGCCCCCTACCGTTTGTCAAAGGCAGAGCTCAGCTGGGCTCCATCGGGGCCTTTGGGGACAATCCCCACCCAGATCTGCTGTTTGTCGATGACGTGTGGGTTCTCTAGGCAGACGGGGAAAGGGCTGGGGGCGGCAGGGCAGCCCCTGTGAGGTCCTGAACCCCAGGATCCTCAAGCCAGGGTTGGCCTTGGGACCCCCACCCCCACAGGGCATGGGGCAGCCCTTACATCTGCATCTCCAGGGCAAAGGAGGACACGGGAGCCAGTGTGCCGCTGGTGAGGATGATGGTGCGGACGCCCTGGCGGACCAGCTCTTGCATGCTGTGGCCGGGACTGAAGCACCAGTAGCTCAGTACCTTCCCTAGGGGAACAAGTGTGAGGCTGGGCTAGACATGTGAGGCCTGCCACAGGGGCAGCCCGCCACAGGCCCCTACACCCCACATGCACAAGTCTGAGCAAGGGAGGGCCCGCCTGGGCCTTGATCTGAGTGTCTGAGCTGGGGCCCTCCTTCCTCCCTCAGACGTCCTGGGAGTGTAAGCAGATCCAGAGTGGGCCCCCAGGGGCAGACACCAGAGTCACCTCCAGAAAGGACAGCCAACCCCAACCCAGACTTGCACAGAGACTGACACGTGGCCAAGGGCACACCGAGCAGGCATGGCGGCTGCCATCACGGGCCCCTGGCCAAAGGGCACAGCGGGAAGGAAGCAGAACCCACCTCTGCTCACTAAAGGGGCAGCAGGAACCCACATTCCCCCGGAGGCAGGTGCCAGCAGGGACATCACCATCAACAAGGTTCACAGGGAGCCTGTCTCCTACTGGCCCCCACCTGGCTCTGGAAGCTTAGGACATTACAACAGAACATGCAGAACGACTTTAAACAGAAGTCTAAAGTCCGGGCTAGCTCACGGGTCAGCAGGGATGTTTCCAGTAAAGAACAAACCACTTTCTGGGGCCAGAAAAGCCTTTTCCACCTTTGGGTCAGGATCGGCCCTGTGACAGGGAGGGCCATGGGGGCTGGGAGCTGTCCCTTCTCCATGCAAGGCCTGGGGACAGGGCCGGCCCTCCCCGCACTCACCCACATCCTAACTTCTCGGTAAGGTCAGCAACGGACCAACTTCCTACAAATGCCCAACCCAGGGAGCGGCTATTTCTGAGAATTTACATGCTCTCCGAGGTACACAGAACACAGGGGACACCACGCCCCACTTGCCCTTGATACCTGCACACCCTGCCTATGTCAGTGTCCCATGGGGAGAGCATGCAGACGTGGGGGGAGGCCTCGGGTGCTGGCGCGAACCACTTCCTGTGACCTCACAACATGTGAGGGGGGCACTGGCCTCCCCGCCTCTCACGGAAGCTACTTCCTGCTCTGAGAGGTCAGGTGACCTGCCAAGGTCACACTGTGAGCTTCCCCAGTTGGCACTGGCCTTGTCCATGTTCCCAGCCCTGCTTTTCCTGTGGAAGGGCGTGGCTCCAAGAGGGCCTGTGGCCGGCATGTCTGAAAGGGGTATGCCGGTGGGGCTGGGTGCTGGGCCTGGAACACAGGCAGGCAGGGCCAGGCCAACCAGCCATGCTGAGGAGTGGCGAGGACAGGAAGCACACCTGACCTTAGGAGCCACCGCCCCACATGTGTCCTGCAAACCCCACTCGAAACGCCACGTTGCAATGGGTGCTGAACTCTGCCTGGGTGGCCAGGACACTCGCCAGGGCTGGGTGCCATGGGGCCACACACCTTGGCCAGGAGAGGCCAGCTTCACACCAAAAGCCACAGGATGCCTGGCACAGACCCCATCCTCCTGCGTCACAAGCGTCCCCAGCTCTAGGACGTGCAGAAGCTGGTGAGACCAATAACGTGGACAGAGTGGGATGCAGGGCTAGGCCTGACCTCACAGGGGGGCCAACAGAACCAGCACCAGAGGAACCTGGGTGGCCATCAGACAGCAGGCTTCTCAGACATGGTCTGGGGCCTAAGACGGCCCCACCGGTTCTGCTCAGCGGGACGGCATTCAAGCAGCACACCGGTGCCGATGCGAATGTGCCCAGGCCTTCCTGTGGGCGGACTTCTTGTGGAAGAGTCCCCGGCGGGGCGGGTGACCTGACTGTACCCTAGCTCAGCGGATGCCCAGCAGGTGACTCTGGGTAGGCTCCGGGCCATCGGCCTGCTCTGAGGTCTGTCTCTCTCCAAGGGTTCTGGCAGGGGGTGAGCTGGGAGGTCACCTGGAGCAGGCTGCACTCAGGGCAGGGGGCCTGGAAACCCGCAGCAGGCCATGGGGTTGCGCTGAGTGTGTTCCTGCCCCGCCAGGCCCCGTACCTTGCTTTCTGGCTGCCGTGGTGTTCCAGGCGTCTGACCGCTGAGCCTTCCTCTGGTGACCGGCATCAGGATGGATATGTACCTGGAGGAACAGAATGGACGATGGTACCCCGAGACCCAGCCCAGGAATCTTATGTCCTGGGGGCAGCCCCCACCTTGTAGGACTGAGACCCCCACCCAGAGCCCCCTGCCCAGGAGGCAGCCCCTACCTTGTAGGACTGAGAGACCCCAAGCCCCACCATGGAACCGGGCGTGCCCTCAGCGGGGTCTGCACTGAACACAATCTGGAAAGCAGACATGGGAGACGTCAGCAGGACACAGTGGAGGCCACCACTCCTGCCGGGCCGCCCCCACACACAGGAGACAGAGGCTCAGGGTGTGGTTGTCCCCTGCCCCAGGTCTGAGCTGACAGCATCCCCGGTGGGGGACTGCAGGCTGAGGGGCGGGGGCTCACACCTGTCTGTCCCCTTCCCCGGAAGGCCCCACTGTGCTGCAGACAGAGCCTTCCCTGCAGGCGCTCCCCGATCCACATGCTCTCACAGGGTGCAGGCCTGGGGCAGTCAGGGAGCCAGGGGAAGGACTTAGTTCACCCCCAGAAGTAAAAGGATAAAAGCGATCCCTAACTCAAGTAACTAGAGCTGTACTCTCGGCCAAGGCAACGAGCTGAGAAAAAGCAACAATCGGGTAAATCCTGGCCTGGGGAAGAAGGCACGGGTGCTGCACGTTACAAACACCATCGTGCTCTACTTAGAATCCCGACAAAACCAGGTGACAAACTTTTAGAGCTAAGAAGAAAACTGAGTAAGATAGCACCACAGGAGACCAACAGACAAATCAGGAGGGGGTGCCCCGTCCTGCCTGATGCCCGGGCCCGCGGTGGGGCCATACCAGCAGCCCTGAGGACCACTGGCTTCCTGTCGGGGCCAGCTCAGCGGGTGAGCGGGTCTCACATCGTCCCGTACACCCACCCTGTCCCTCCCGCAGCCTGCCTCCTGCAGTCTCCAGTCTGGCTCAGCTGCAGACCCCCTTTCTCATACTACCTTGAGGGATCTGAATTTGGAGAGGTGCAAGGTTCTTCAGCCCAGCTGGGATCTCATGGTGCAGCCCCTTGTGTATTCACCACCGGCTGCCTGTCTGGCCAGCCCACTGACCCACTGAGGTCCCAAGGCTGGCCCAGTGCACCCACCTTCCCACAGGAGCCAGCTGTGGAATGAACAACCACCCCATCACACCCCCTCCAGCTGGAAGGGACACAGCAGAGTAAGGAGGAGGCCCACAGGCAGCACCAGGTAGGCAGGGACACTGAGTCATCTGCCAGGCCTGCTTAGAGCAGGTGCCAAAGGAAATTCCAAACCAATGGAGTGAGGGGTGCTTGGGCTCCAGTGAGTCTGTGAGAAACGATCCTGCCCCATAAACAGGCACTCTGGGGAGCGGAGGGGGCTGCACAGGACTGGGAGTGAGGGCCAGGGCTGCCTCGGAGCAGGGCTCCTGGGGAGGGCACAGCAGTTGCAGCCCAGGGCCCCTCATCTGCAGGGACCCTGAGAACAGCGGGGAGAATGGGTGGAGAGCAGCTCAGAGGGAAGGGCATGCCTGGCAGGAGCCACAGACAGGGCCCAGGGTGCCGGAGACCCGACAGTCACAAGGGGCCGTGGCTCCAGGCAGCAGTGGTCTGGGGTACCTGCTGTCCCCTCAGAGAAGTGCTGGGAGGATGGCAAGGCAGAGCCTGGCACCTCCGGGACAACGCCTGCCCACACTTTACACTCGAGGACAGTGCTTGGCGGGGCCTCGGCGAGTCTGTGGGATGTGCGCCGGGCTCTCCCTGGGCTGCCGGGTCATCCTTCCTGCCGCCCCCCTGCAGACCTCCCGCCGGGGTGCACAGACACAGGGCAGCTGCACCACAAACGAGGCTGGACACGGACCCAGGGCCCTCCAGCCCTGAGCCCTCACATAGCGAGGGGCACCCTGAGTGCCGGGCCCCCCCCGCGGCCTGGCCACGCGGCAAGAGCACAAGTGCCTGGAGGCAGTCTCTCGCACCGCAGAGCATGGGGGGGCTCCTGTGCCCTGGCTTCATCGGGGACCTTGGGCCACTGAGAGTCCTCTTCAGAAAGGCCTGGCAAGACGAGAGAGGGCCCTCAGCAGCCAGCCTGGCAGCCACCCAACCGTGGGAAACAGAGCCTGGCTCGTCCACTTGAACTGAGGAAATGGCTCAGCTGGACCCGAGGACGGCAGGACACAGGTCAGCACACTGGGGGGCAGTAAGTGGCCACGTCCACAGACCCTGAGGTGCGTCCTGACCACACCGGTTGCCTGGCCAGGGAAACTGAGGGTTTGCATGAGGCAGGAGGGGCTCAGGAAGCCCTGGGGGCTGCCCCCCACCCCAAAGTGGATCCCAAAGGACAGGCTGACCATGCCTGCCAACTCTGAATGCCAGCCCCAGGGGCCCGACCTGGGCTTATAAGCACTGCCCAAATGCATTCACCCTAAAAGTCTGAATGCTTCTCTGGGTGGGCTGGCCCAGAGACCAGATATGGGGTTGGGGAGACAGAGTCTATGCCCGTTTGTTCTCTGACGGGCTCATGTTTCGACTTTCCTCTGAAAAGCTGATTTAAGAAATAACTTCAAAAAAGATGAGGGCAGACGGTGAGGCGGCAGCCACTAAGTCTGTCTGAAAACCAGGGGACTCTGCCAGGCCCTCATCCCACCTGGCCCTTGAGCACCTGCCCTGGACGGGACTGACCAGAGCAGCTGAGCACGGCCCTCTCCCCCAAGGCCTGGCAGTGTGCCTTCAGGGCAAGAGGAAACGCGCTTCAGGGGCCGTTGATTAGAAGCATGTGGTGTGGGTGCCTTGGTCTTGCGCCAAGCCTGGAATCAGTAACAACTCCAGGATAAGAACACACCCCTTAACTTCCATCAGGAAAAAAGATGCCCAGTCTTTGCAGCAAGCCCGTCCCTACCTGGATGATGTCCGAGAGTTTCTGCAAGCCTGCTGTGTTGGTGAATGGCCCTGTGCCTGTGGGAACAGTAGATACTGGTCATCCCGTGCCCCCACCGGGGGAGGCACCAGACCCTCCGCCCTCAGGAGCCTCGAGCAAGCTCGGCCTCAGCCCAGTGTTGGTGTGGAGCACGCCCTTGGGGTCAGCAGGGTGAGAAGAGAGGCTCTATGGTCAGTAAGCCCGGGACTGCCAGGCCAACTCCAGGGCCCAGAAGCACAGCAAGGCCGGTCATCCGAGATGAGAATGAGACCCCACTCAGCAGAAGTGGGCCCACGGTGCAGACTCAGGGTAGAAACAGGATGCGCAGGGGGCTGAGGAGAGAGGCTGGTGGGCCCCGCGGCTCACGGACCCCCCAGGTCCCTCACCGCTCTTCCTCTAAAGGGACTGACCAGGAAACAGAGAAGCTGGGCTGTGCTTTACAAAACACACGCCCACCCAATGGCAATGATCCCCCCCCCCGCCAATATCACAGTCAGAAAGGGAGCTCCGGGGGCGACATTCCCGCCTGGGGCTGTGGCTACAGCCCTGAGTCAAGGCCCAGTGTGGGGGCCGACGCAGCCACGGGCTGCAGGGCAGGCTGGGGACTCACGTCCTGCCAGGTGCTGGATGATCTGGTCCAGGGAGTCGAGGATGCAGCCTTTGGTCTGAAACGTTATCTGGGCCTCGGCAAACAGCTCGAAGATGTAGCTGTGGAGGAAAGAGGCTCAGGCAGGGTGCCAGACTGCGCTCAGGGAGCTGCGGACAGCCAGTGGCCTTTGAGGTTCCCTTCCCTCAGACACTCTGGAGGACAAACCCAGAAGTGAGAGAGGCCTGTGCCCTCAGGAGCGCTGAGGAAAAGGCAAGGCCCCCAAGGGCAGCTCTGGGAGGCAGGGGAGTCCTGCCGTCTGGGCCTCGGAGGCATGGGCAGGGCTGGTCAAGGAGCCTGGCTCATCTGGGAAGCAAGTGGGAGCCCCGTGAGGCTCTGAGCGCAGCGCAGCAGATGGGCTCGGGAAGAAGAAAGGCAGCACATTCTAGAACATTCCACACCTCCAGAACCCGAGCCTGGATCCCAGCACAGCCACCGGCTGTGCCCTGAGGAAAGCTACAACCAGCCCCAGGCCATGATCCCTTGTCTGCCTTTGGGAAATAAACCCAGCGGCCCTGTGCCCTGTCAGAGCCATCCGGGCCTGCAGAGGCTGGGGGGGCGGCTGGCGGGAAGATGCGTGAAGAAGCAAGCGTCTCACTCTAAAGGGCTGGGCCAGGAGCTGTGCCTGCATACACAGTAGTCCCGAGACTCCCAAGACGACCTAGTGCACAGACGGTAGCCCCTCATGGGCCCCCAAAACCCAGACACAGGCGTGGGAGCAGGGCAGATGGACCAGCAGAAGGAGAGACTGGCACACCCACTGTCCTTTACCTCCCTGGCTTGGTGACACCGCTGTGGTCCCCAGGCAGCTCGACAGCATCGATGGCCCCCTCCAGGCGAAGCAGGATCACTGCGGGGCAAGGGGTGGTCAGGTGCTGCCCACCCAGCCACGAGCGGCGGGGAAGGGCCACACTCACTCTTAAGCTTTGCAATGTCTTCCAGCTCCATGTGCAGCCCTGGGGGAGCAGCAAATGCATTGGTCACGGCCTATTTCTACCCCAAGAGCCAGGACTCGGGCTGGATTCCTGCCTGCCCCCCCAAGTAGACGTGACCAAAGACAAGTAAACGAGGCTCTGAGATTCCTACAGCCCGAACATGGGCCGGCAGCGGCAGTTCGGGCTCAGGGACACATTGTGGGTATGCTCATGCACGTGCATGCACTCCCCGGCCCTGCTCACTGGAGACCCAGGACAATGAGCCAGCAACAAAGGGTCCCCGTGCCCGCATGACGGGTCTTGAGAGACCATCTCCCAAGAGAAGAAACCAGGGTTCCTTGGAGATATGGCTGATGCCGGGTGTGGGGCAAGCAGCATGTGAGTGAGTGAGGAATATCCTGACTCCCCATCAGTGCCTGGCGGGGCCACAGGAACAGCTGAAGAGGGGACCCTTGAGTTCAACGACAATAGGGCTTACAACAGACTGACATCCTCGTTTGCGTTTAAACCAAGTACCACTGATGACATTAAAAACTACTCTTCTGAAGGGACAAGGGATCGATCACAAGTCAGGAATAAACTCAAACCCCCAAACTGAAAATTGGGAAAAAGTCAAGCATCTATCCTGCTTTTCCTAAGAATAGTATCACCAAGCAACAGCTGAGGCGCAGAGCCTCTTTATGAAACTTTCCTCCCGGTAAACTGAACGACACAGTTGGCACATCACCCTCTCTCCTTGCCCCAGCACAGAGCACGATGACATGCCCGTGGACACAGCGAGGACCAGCCCCAGCACGCCTCCCGATAGGAAGCTACACCATGGCTCGAGCCTGGCACGTGGGGCCTCAGGAGAAGCCACGCCGTCTGTGGTCTTCTGCTACGGTGGCCCACACCCTCGCCGACGCTGGTCCTGCCCCTCGGCCGGCAGCCGCCGCCCCACTGGGTGTGCAGGGCTGCCCCCCCCCCCCCCGCGGCTCGCATTCACGCCTCCATGTGCATGCTGACCGCTGGGACGTCCATTACTAAAGAAGCGTCTCTTCCTATCTTTTACCCATTTTTAATTGGGTTGTCTTTTCCTAGAGTGGTAAGAGTTTCTTACGTATTTTGGATGCGTCCCATATCAGACACGTGATCCACGACGAACCCCTGCCATCCTCTGGGCCGTCCCTCTGCCCCCCCGACCGCGCCCCCCAAAGCCCACGGCGTTATTTGCGACAATGACTGGTTTCTTCCTTTTGTCCTCTGTGCTTGTTAGCTGGCGGCGTTTCTTCTTTTCTTTCAGTTTTTATTTCTTCATTTAAGTCATCTCCACCCCCACCACGGGGCTCGAACTCACGGCCCGAGAACACGCGTCACACACTCCACCGACGAGGTGGCCAGACGCCCCTGTCGGCGTCACTTGTGAGGCAACTGCCCCGTGCACAGCCGGGAGAGCGACACCGTGGTGAGCGAGCCCCTTCCAAGCGGGGCCGGGTGGGGCGGGGGGCAAACAGGACGCCGTGAAGAACCCCGACACAGACGGCTCGCCTGGGGTCCAGGCAACACCAACGGTCCTGCCACAGGGTCGGCAGCTGGACACGTGGCAGGGTCTGTGGAGAAAGCGCTGTACGTGTGCTCTTGTTCCCAAATCCCAGAGCCCCAGGAAACCCGTGGGAAAGGCAGACACCTTCCAATTAAGGCACATCCCACAAAAGGCCTTACCGACCCTCCTCCAAACTGTGAAGGTTACCAAGAACAGGGAAAGTGTGAGAAACTCAGCCCAGAGCAGGCTGAGGAGCGGTGGCTAGTGCCCTGGGGTTTCCTGGGGCAGAACAAGGCCATCACGTGAAAACGAAGGGTATCAGCCACTTCACACCCATTAGGACGGCCATTTCCAAAACAAAATACGCCTTCCTTAAACAACCAAAAAAAATGTTTCATTCCACTTCTGAGAGAAAAGCAAATCAAAACCACACCGAGAGGCGTTTCCATCTATGAGACTGGCACACGATGAAAAGCCTAAGGTCGCACTCTGTTGGTAAGGCTATGCCCCCGCCACGCGGGGCTCGAGATTCAAGAGCACAGCAGCATGCTTCCCTGCCGACCAGCAGCCCCGATTCCTGGAACTGACCCTGAGGTGCATCCACCCCAGATCACTCATAGAGCCCTGTTTGTAATTACAGAATGCTGGAGACGACCCAAGTGCCATGCAAACGGACACAGGACGTCCACCGGAGGGAGGCAGGCAGCCGAGGGGAAGAGAGGTTTCTGTGCAGGGAGGCCTTTGCAGGGCGCACTAGGAATGAACCCAGCGGGGCAAACGCGTGTCTACGAGGAACAGCATGGCCCCGTGTGCCCCAAGAAGAATGAACGAAATACGCCTGTGTCCGCTCCTTCCGGGGGGGGAATAAAGCCAAGCAAAAATAAACCAGAAACTACCAAGATGCTTCTCTCGAGTATCTTGACTTCCAGAACCACGGTCACGTTTCAAACACCCGAGAACAACCCAAGTAATAAAATCAACGAGAAGAAACACGGAAGAAGAAATGACCCTAAAATGACAATGAAGCCACAGTGGAGGACGAGGGGGAGGAAGGGGGGCAACCAAAGACTCCCCAGCACAGTCTTCTGACCAGCGCTCAGACGAACGACAGGAAGGGTACCAGCACTCAGCTCTGGGAGGCAGGCTTCCTTCAGCACAGGTGGGTGAGCTGCCCTCAAACAGCTGCCTGAGTCTTCCAGGGCCAAACCAGGACGGGAAACCCTGAGGGAAGTGGGAGCCGGTATTCTCACCAGCACAGAAGGACTGAAACCCTGATGAGGTCGGGCAGTGAGCGAGAGCGAGACGTGCGGCGCTGGACAGAGCGGGAGTGCGTGCAGGAGCCGCGACCCTGCACAAGCAGGCAGTTCTCTCCCGTCTGTGCAGATGAGCAAGCCCGCTCCCGACCAGTTCAGAAACGAGAGGCATCGAGAGGTAAGACTCATCGCTTTGCAAACATTATAGCAATCATTAACTCAGGGACGAATCATTCATGGATGCCACAGACTGCTTAGGAATTAACAAACGAAAGAATAGTAACTTCACAGCAGAAAAATGTGGCAGTCGTCACGTAACGGAACGATCAAAGTTGGAATCCCCAACAATGCAGGGGCCACTCCACACTGAGCAGGGAGCCCGATGTGGGGCTCAATCCCAGCACCCTGGGATCATGGCCTGACGTGAAGGCAGCTGCTTAACCGACTGAGCCACCCAGGCGCCCCTGGTTTTCATTTTTATACAGTAAAGTCTATACCAGCTGAAAAAGTATGGAAAGATCTTCAGAAAATGCTGAACAGTTGGCTGGTACCTACTTCCTGGTCTGTGAAGCCCCAAGAAAACTCTTCAAGGGGTTCATATCATCCCCAAATAATGACCTGAAAGAGGGGCCCTGGGAAGACGCAGGCCTCCAGGACCCCCGAGAACACCTTGCAGCCTGTCTCTCCTTTCCCACCTGTAAGCTCACCTGAGTTGGCAGAGTCCGCACTGAACTCCAAGCGGAGCCCGTCCTGCTGTGCCGCCTTGGTCTGCTCCTCCAGAACCTGGTCGATGACGTCCAGTCCAGAAGCCAAGTCATGCGGAGTCAGGTCAAAGGATGCCGTCTCCTCGCACATCTTCTCCTGGGAGCCCAAGCACACCAGGCTACAGCCAAACGGGGGCAGGGACTCGGGGATCCAGGAAGCCAAGGTGGGGGTAGGGTGCAGGGGTACATGAAGCCCCATCCCATGGTCTCTAAGGCCAGGTCACAAACTGGTCAAAGACAGCCGAACAACCACACCAACGTTTGGAATTTCATAACTGGAAAATTTCCCATTAGAATATAGATTTCTGGAGGTGCCCAGCCAGGTCAGTCAGAAAAGCATGCCCCTCTTGATCTTAGGGTCGGGAGTTCGAGCCCCAAGTTTGGTATAGAGATTACTAAAAAAATAAACTTTTCATAAATTTCTGGCTTTTCTCAAAAGTCCGATCTGGCCCACTGGACTTATCGTCCCCCATGGCAACAAGTGCCTGGAACCAAGTGGGAGCGCGAGGGTGGCTGCTGCTGACCCAGGACACCAGGCTCCAGAGCACCCAAGTGGCCTTCCTGCCCTGCCCTGCTCCAGGCCAGCTATTCCTGGAAACACAGCGCCCTGAGCAGAGGCCACAGCAATGGTGGGGCAGGGCACAGGTGACAGGGAGGGGCTGGCTGTGGTCAGCAGGGGGCAAGCATCAGGTCAGGCAGCCACCAAGGGACAAAGAGAACAAGACCGGGGGCGCTGTGAGGGTTTTGGGTGGAAACGGGGAACAGGGCCGGCCAGTGTAGCTCACCCGGGGCTTGGACAGAAAGGTCTGCAGGGATGCAGGGGAGGGGAGGTGCGGCGGAAAGGCCACCTGGACACTCACCACATTGTGAGCTTCGTCGAAAATCACAACTGTCCCCTTCAGGTCAATGCCGTGTGCCCGGCGACTCTGCAGCAAGAGGGGAAGGATGCAGGGCTGGAGCCAAGAGGCAGGCAGGGGAAGCGCCGCCCCCCCCATGCCATGGCCACCTGGTTCTACGCACCCATCACCAAGCTGGATGTCAGGTGCCCCTTCTGGTGACACTCACACAGCACGAGGGAGCAGGTATGCGACCCCACATCATGCACGCCACACAGCCACGGGATACAGGAGGCCCAAAGCAGGGCTTGGCCTAGCGTTAACTTGGGGAGGGGTATTTCTAGTATTTCTTTGCTTCAACTGCATTTGAGATTCAATTTTCGTAAAATAAAGTGCCCATTTTAATGTGCAGTTGGGTCTTGACAGATGTGAGCTCTGCGTCGTCAGCACCCAGAAAAGGAGACGAGACCTGCTCCCCGCCCCCCACCCGTGACCTCTGACCTGCTCCTAGCGAGCAGGGATCAGATTTGCCTTTTCTAGGCTGTCCTGGAAACTGAGTTGGGCAGCAGGGCTCGTCTGTCCCGCCCGCGGGCAGTGTGTTCCAAGACCCACGCATGTCACTGGCGTGTGGCTGCAGCTCAGCCCTCTTCATGGCTCGTGGCGCTGTTTCAGGGACAGCCGCCCGCGGATGGACGGGGCTGTTCCCTGGTGTTGGCCACAGCCGCCAAGGCTCTGGACCCAGCCCCCTCCCTCAGGCGTGCTTCCAGAGCGCCACACAGCCCCACACACCACCAGCAGAGGCTGAGCCGTATCCTCAGCGGACACTGGTCACCGGAATCCTTTACTTCTGGACACGCTGGTGGGAACGCAGGGTCACCCCCTGTGGTTTTAACCCGCATTTTCTCCAGACCAGTGGTGCTGCACATTCTCCATGCACAGGCTGACCTGGCCACCCCAGCTTTCTCTGGGATTGCTGGTCGAGTTACAAAGACGCCGCACAGACTCGGGCACAGGCCTTTGAAAGAAAAATGTACCACAAGAACTCCCTCCCTTTGTGACTTGCGGTCATTTTCTTCATTTTCCACTCTTTTTAAGAGTCAAGGCTTGAAACCGTGGTGAACTCTGATGTACTGGTTTTTCTCTGTGGCTGGTGCGTGGTGTGTCTGAGCTAAGAAAGCTCGGCCTGCCCTCCCTGCTCTGTCCTGGAGGAGCTTTATGTCTCCAGCTTTTACATTCCGGGTTATGCCGTGTGAAGTAATGGCTGAGATTCGTTCTCTTCCAAATAGATATCCAACGATTCCAGCACCAATTTTTAGGGAAAAAAGCCCCAAACCTTTCCTTTTCCCACTGAAATACCTAGGCATGTTTGTTGAAAACCAACTGCCACACACGTGGGTAGGTCTTGGCCACACTCTGGTGCGACCCCGGCCAGCAGCTCGGTCTGCGCTCTGCAGCCAGTCCTGGAGCCCTCCAGCTCTGTCCTCCGTCAGAACTGCCTCGCCCCCTTCCATCTTTTGCATTTCCAGGTCAGTTTTAGAATCGCCTCATCAGGGACAACATACCTGTCCTGGGGTGGGGCCCAGGCCCGGGCAGCTGGGTTGACAGATCACGTACAACCCCTCCACAAACCCCCACTCTGCGCTGGAGTCTGCCCGCCTCAGAACCACCCTCACCTGCTCCAGCCACTCGCTTGCTCCGTGGCCCCGTGGCCCTGAGGCCCCATGGCCCTGAAGGCCACTGCTCCTCAGAGACTTCCCTGCCCCATGGCACCGACTCCACCCTCCGCGCTCCTTTCCCCTCAGGGCCTCTGAACACTACCAACGCATGCGCTTGCTCCTAACTGCCCACCCCACAGTAGTGCTGAACAGATGAATGACCCGGACAGCGGGTCGTCCACTGTGTTACCGTGACATGAAGGACAATTTGCTGCACATGTGAGGTATACACATGCATCCCAAGAGACGACTGTAAGGGAGGGCAGGAGCACACGCTTGGGGCTGCCTCACAGTGCCCAACTGAGAAGAGAGAAGCTGAGCCGCCAGACAAAGGCCAGGGGCTGGCCCTGGACGCAGCCATGGGGTCTCCTCACTCCACCAGCCCACCCGCTCCCAGAGAGCTCAGAACGACAGACCCACGGCCCCACGCTGGCCACAACTGTGCCCAGACCAGTGAGGGAGGCCGAGTCCTCACACCATGCGTGCTGCTCTGAGGCTCTAATCTCAGGAACTGAACCGACAAAGGCTCTGACAGGCCCTTACAAACCCAGGGACGCCCGTTGATATCAGGAATCATCAGCTCCATGAGCTGAGACCTCACCTTGGCGTCCAACAAGTAGTTGTAAGGCATGAAGATGATGTCAGCCTGCTGCTTCAGGTTCCGAGAAAGGTAGTACGGGCACAGTCTGCGGAGAGGAGGGAGGCACACGTCGGAGCCAGGAGGGAGGTCCAGGCCCTCGGCGGGGCTCCCGCTGGCTGAGGCCCTGTGGCCAGGCTGGACGCCAGGCCCTCTGACGGGCAAGCAAGAGGAAGGAGCCTTGCGCTGCACGGGGGCTCAGACGGGAGCTGGGGCCTGGGGACCACGGGAGGGCTCACGGCATTACGGTTCATGCCACCAGTTTTCAACCCTGGGAGTAGATCACCTATTTAAAAATCTACATAAACAAAAAACCCCAATCCTATTCCTGGGTAGAGGAATGAGGCAATCAGAAAAAATGCTCAGTCCTGTCTTGGCCCAACCCGAAGCCCTGAAACCGTGAGAGGTCGACACAAAGGTCAGAAAAGCGTGTTCCGTGGAAACCAGCCGACTGGAGAAGGTCAGCACTATGCCCGCTGGCTGCTGGAAGCCAGAGCACGTCCGTCAGGAGGCCAGGGCTGCCCGGTGGCAGAGTGGTCACCTTGGGAGGCAGGGGAGGCTTCCCTGCTTCCCCCGTATTCAAAACCACTTCTGTTCTCACACCAAACAGCCGTTAGTTTTGTGATTAGTCAAGGTAGCAAAGTAAAGGGAAGTGGGGTGCCCGGCTTCCCCGTGGCAGAACCTGTCCCAGAAAGACACGGCCGGCTACTGCCGGGCCACAGGGCCTCACCTGTGCTTACTCCCACTTCTGACCAGGTCCTCGATGTCCAGGATCGGGGTAGCCAGCTCCCGCTGTAGGCTCTTCTCTGGGGACACGGGCAAGAGTAAAGACATGTCCTCAGGCCTGAAGAGTCCCCGCAGACCCCAGAGGGATGCCCAGGCCGTGACTCTCCCTCCGGGCAGGACTAGGGCACCCAACCACCTGGGGACTCACCAGACAGAATTCCTGCCCTGTGAGTCTGTGACCTTGGAAGGACCCCAAACCTGAACTAATCCACAGGGAACCCTGCTCTACACCTCAGGAGGCAGCTGCTGGCCTGAGACTGAGCATTAACAGGACTGGAGGGGGGTGCGCAGCCCCTCAGCCTCTCTCTACCATCCCAGGCGTTCTCAAGGCCATGCCCTGGAAGCATCTGTCCTACAATTAGGCTTCAGCCTGGCAGCAAGTGGCTTTTTCTCTTCACTTCCCCCCAAACGTCAACAGTGCAGGAACACAGATCTGAGGCAGGGCACACGGGAGAGGTGCGGGGCCCCAAGGCAGAACCCACCCGACGCCTGACAGACCCAGGGCCCCTGCCTCATGATGGCAGCCCCCGAGAGGCACCACTCCCTGCTGGCTGCCCAGGTGGCCCAGGGCAGAAAGGTGCTCAAGAAGGGGCACAGGCCCTGTTGGGGCCCCAGGAACCCCCTGAGGAGCTGCTCTAACCCAGCCACTCAGGAGCCCACACCCAGGCTGGCAGGACCAGGACTCTCCTCAAACACACACCCCAGAGCCCCAGAGCAGCCTCCTGTGGAAACGGGCTCTCGGCTCCGGCCCCACTGTGGCAGGTACCAGGCCCAGTCCTCCACTGCAGAGCCAACACACCTTGGCCGTGACTGAACCCAAAATGCCCCCAGGGACAGCAAGGAGAGAAAAACTGTGTGCTCAGCAGTACCATAGCAATAGTGCAGCTGATCCACAGTGGGCAGGCAGCCTGGAGCTCAGCAACCTTCCTGGAGGGGAGGGGGCAACAGGAAGGGGCAGTGGAGACTGGAGGGGGGTGAGGACCCCAGCATGGAGATGCTGCAGCTAGTTAGCACATAGAGGCCAGGCAGAACTCTAGCTCTGCCCCTTTCTCCTTCCTCCCACACATGCCTCTCCTCCTCTTGGACCCCTTCTGGGGTCTCTGCTCACTCTCCCCAAGGGCTAGGCAGCTGCTGCCGAGGCCCCCTCACATCCCATGGCACCGGGGCAGAGAAGACTAAGACACAGCAAAGATGTGCAGCGGACCTCTGACAGGACACGCAGTGAGAGCCAGAGCAAAGCAGGGAGGCTGGATATGAGGGGAAGACCGATGAAGCCTGGAGCCAGCAGGACAGCCGCAACAGCACCCTCACTTTGCCACACGGGGCCTGAGACGGTTGGGGGGGGGTCTGCAGCACAGGGGGCCAGCACACACCTGCTCCATCATCACCTCTACTATGAGCTGAAAGTGCCCCTCAACTCCCACGCCTCCTCTGGAATCCCGGCTCCTCCCTGGCCCATCACCCACCAGGTAAGGTAAGAGATGCTGCAGGTGAAGGCAGTGCAGGTGAGGCCAGTCCAAGTGTGGGGACGGTGCAGGTGTGGGGCAGTGCAGGTAAACAGCAGTGCAGGTAAGGGCAGGAAAGTAGAGAGCTGAACCACAAACTGCTATGGAAAGGTGGCTGGAGCAGTTCCCACCAGGTGTTGCTCAAAAGCTCTGGTATGGGGTGAACAGGACTCCTGCAACCCACCCCTTTGCCAGGAATGTGGAGAGAGGCGGCCGCAATGGGGCAAAAAAGAGATGACTCCATTGAGCATCACAGGCGTGACCCCAAGGCCCATACGAAAGCAGGACTGAGGTGGGATGGCTGTGAGCAGGTGGACAAAGCAAAGGGGGAAAAATGCCTCCGAGCCACCCCAAGACCCACGGGCCTAACAAAGAGCAAGCAGAGCAAGTCAGTCAACAGTCTCCGGACCGGGGCAAGAGCCAACACCAGGCCACTGCGGGCCAGGCTGGTGCCTGATGCTTCCCATGTACCCTTTACTGCTGTTCTGAGGGTTCTCGGTGCCACCAGACCAACCCACACAGCCAACAAGAAGGTGGTGAGGCGTGAGCTCCAGGGACGGGGCACAGGGAGGCCTATTACTGGGAGGTGAGGGAGCCCCAGCTCAAGCCTCTGAGAGCAAGCACTGCCCTGGCATGCAGGGCATCCCAAACCCCAGCACTAGTGTCCTGTGAGTGCCCCAGGGCCTCTGTCACTCCTGTGCCAGGATCTACGTCCCAACCCTGAGGCAAGAAAGAGGGAACCCCAACCCCACTGAAGCGCAACTCCCCCAGGCCACAGAGCCCTAGCTGCGATAGGAAACTAGAGACCACAGCCCAGAGAAGCGCCCCTGCCATTGCTTCTGGCTCCAGGAATCCTTGACAGATGTGAGGAGCAGCCGCACAGTGGAAAAGCAAAGACCTGACAGATCTGGAGGCAAGGGCACCGGGGCCAGCCCTCCACTCTGGGCCTAAGGAAAGTAAGCAGCAAGAATCAATGGCCGTGGGCACCTATGGTCACACACATCAAGCCACACCAGGGCCAGCTGTTGTCATGATCCTGGGCTGGTCACTTCGGCCACCTCTGGGAGAGGTCGTCCTCCCCACAGCACCAAAGGCTGGTAGACTCCCCGGACTCAGGGAGAGCCACACCCACGCTGTGCCCTATCACAGCCCGAGGACACACAGCAAAATCAGTAAAAGGAAAAGCCTGTGGAGGAGTCTGGGAGACCAGGCACGGCTTCCAGAACGCCCTCCCCGGGCTAACTGCCCCAGAACGAGCTGAGGCCATGTGAGAAATGCTGTCTCCTGGGAAGCTCGCCAGAGGCCCAGCGCCCAGGGCTTCTGCTGGCGGCCAGTCACGTAAGCACCCCTGGCTGGCGAGCGCCCGAATTCCAGACTCCCAGGGGGAAGGAGCTGCTCAGCATCAACCACATTGTTTGCACAAACAGTTTACGCCGAGGGAGCCCCTCCTCTCAGGGAACGGTGAATCCCTGAAATCCAAGCTCCCAGACAGTGGCGAGGCCAGCCTGGGTCCTTCTGAGAGGGCAGTCTTTTCTGCCTGACATATGAGCCTTTCTGCACACAGTCCAGTACAGGTCCACAGTCAGGAGACGGTGCCCAGCACCACCTCACCACCTCACCTAGCTGAACCGATGGGGCCACTCTGGAGCCCCAAAGGGGAGAGCCAGCAGGCCACGAGGCCTAAGAGGCAGCACATGCTCCAAGCCCACCTGGCTGTATGCTGACTAACCGGCAGGAGCGGCTTCCACGGATCCTCTCTTACCTTCTACATTGTTGTAGAAATGACAGGAACGACTTGCTACCTTCTTTCGGCACAAATGAATCTGGGAGAAAAAGAAGCAGCCCCAGCTCGCACAACGGTCACAAAAAGGCAGAGCACTGAGCCAGCCAGTGGACACGCTGCCGATGGTGCTGCCCAGCATGGGGAGACTGAGTCCTGTTCCAGCCCTGCCCCTACCAGCTCTTCACTGGGCCGTCCCCTGGGGGCAGAGGCAAGGGCTCTGAAAGAACCACAGAAGATGGGGCACATGCCCCAGAAACCCACCTGCATATGGTTACTTTCCTGCTTCTTCACCTCGGGGTGGATACACAGCTGTTCCCGGGAGCCCAGCACACATACCCTAGGCCTGGCAGAAGAGAGAACCATGGGGTCCAAGAACCAAAGAGCAATAGCCCCAGTGCCATCCAGCAGCATAAGCATGGGCTGTGTGGGGCCCATGGGGAGCACCGGGAGAGACATGGCTCACATGAGCACCCGCGTAGCCAGAGGGAGTGGCCATGGCCAGAATGGGCCCTGGGCTTGGGAGGTACTTTCTCTACTGCATGGCCCAGTGTGAACAAGGAGACAAGGCAGGGGAAACAGGCAGATGGGAGAAGACCCCACTAACTCCATGCCCCCTACATCGCCTTCCAGGAGCTCAGGGTGCTAAGCCAAGGTTGGCACATCAAGTGGGAGCTGCTGAGAAGCAGCGGGCAGCAAAAACAGCCTGGCCTCACCGCAGTCCTGCACACTGGAGCAGACACTGTGGGTCTCTGGGATCCAGGGTGGGGTCTGGGCAGAACACTACCATCAACCACCTTGCCAAGGCCAAACCCCCTTAACTCAGAGGCAGGGCTGAGCAGTGCCTGACCTACCGATAGGAGGTGTTCCGAAGCTCACTGATGACCTGAGTGAGCTGTGAGTGGGTCCTGGAGGCATAAATGATCTTCGGGATGTCCGTGTAGCAAGCTGCCCAGGCACAAGGAAGCAGAACAGGTCACAGCTCCACGATGTTCTGGTGTGCTGAGCCTCACCAGCCCACTCTATCCCTTCGCTACCTCTCTGTGGAGACCCCAGAGGGGAGGAAAGGAGCCTCACCTGTGGTGTCTCCATCTGAAGTCGCAAGTCCCCAGGATGATAAGGTGCGATCAGGGAAAAGCTCCCCTTGGGCCCTCTCGGCAATCTTGCGGGCAGAGATGGCGTCGCGGAGGTGCTCCCGCCAGGCCAGCGTGGTGCACAGGAGGCACAACGTCTTTCCCGTGCCGGTGGGGCTCTCCAGGATGCCGTTTACTTTCTGAGTGGGGTCAGGAACAAGGTCATGCGGAAGCAGGAGAAGGGCACCACAGACCACACAGTCCACTGGCCAGGGGACAGTTCTGTTCAGGCAGAGCCCACCTGCAGGCGGCAAAGGCCTGAGGAACAGTGGGTAATCTGCCAGTGCTTCCACTCTCAAACCAGAAGCTGTGTTAATTCAGCCCTCATTAGCAAACAATTTGCAGAGCGTCACTCAGAACTCAGCAGTATTTTTCAGCCTAATATAAATCATAAGATGACTAAGTAGCCAAATCTCCAAAGAAAACTTTGTTCTATAACTTTGGATGTAGATGTTTTATACTGAGGAAAACCTGATGAGCTACATACATCTCAGATGGGAGCCTGAGCAGCAAACCTGGGGAGACACATAAGCAAATCGGCAAAACTGTGCTCCCAGCTCCCAGGAATGGGTGCCAGGCTCCTCCCTGGAGGAGTCTAGTCTGTGCCCACAACAGCAGCCAGGAGCCCAGCTGCAGAATCAGCGCTCAGGAGCTGGGAGCTTGAGCAGGGTACAAAAGAACAGGCTAAGAAAGTCAGCAGAAAGCTACCTGCGCTCTTCTGCCTTCCTGCACACCCCTGAGACTTAAAGACCTTCCAGAATGATTAGGCACTGACTATCCCTCCACGTGGAAATACTTTTTCCAGATCCTCAAATGGCTGACTGCTCCTCCACACTTGGCCTCAGCTCAAACGCCACCTCCTCAGGGAGGCCCTCAAGGTGCTCCCAAGCCTATGACCTAACGACTCTCCTTCAGAGCAAGAACTGTCTTTTTCTACTTGTCTACTGTCTCTCCTAGAACACTGGCCCCGTTTATGACTGAGTCCTGTGTCCAAAAGGAGGCCTGTTACCCAGTAGGACTCAGCAGGAGTGAATGGAAGGTCGAAGTGCATTACATTAGGACTCTGCGGAAGCTCTGCCCACGCTGACCCACTCCCAGGACACAAACGCCCCCGTCTGCAGCTGTACCTTCTGCAGACACTCCAGGACCTTGCCCATGTACTCCTCCTGGCATCTGTATGGCTGGAAAGGGAAATCCACTGTCACACCATTCAGAGCTATCTTGGGCATGCTGGCCTGTTCTCAGGAGGACACAGAGGTTGGCTGATACGCAGGTTGTGTGAGTGTGTGAGACAAAACCCCCTCGGAACATCTCGGGATCTCAGCCACTGCAGATAAGTGATGCCAGCCCGCGGCGCTGGGACATGCCTGTGTTCTCCACGGGAAGCCCTACAGCACAGAGACGGGGGCGACAAGACTGTTTGCAGCCAGCTTTCCGGGCATACCAGGCCACTTCACCAAGCCGGCAGTCCGTCTCGGGTCCAAGGTCCGAAGGCAAGTCTGTGAGACCTATGGCGAGGAGCTTGGGGAGAGGAAGAACCTACACGTGGGCCCTGCCTTGCTCTCTGGCCGCAAGCGGCTCCATCCTGCTCGGGGAGAGGCGTCTGGGCTCCCAGAAGTATCAAGAGCCCGAGCCGCGCCCGGCAGCAGTTCGCTTACCTGAGCCAGAGCCTGAGACGCCCGATCCCCGGCCTGCGCCCCGGGGCCGGCGGACAGTTCACCACACTGACGGCCCCGCCTGCGAGGCCCGGTCACGACGAGAACGGCGTCGCGGGGACCCCCGCCGGGAGACCCCACCCCCCCGCCCCGCCCGGAGGCCCGCCCCGCCCGGACCCCCGCCACTCTGGGAGACACCCCCGTCCCCCGCGCCCGGACCCCCGCCGGGAGACCCGCTCCGCCGGGCGCGGGGCCCCGCCCATGCGCACAGGAAAACCACCGGCCCCAGAATGCACCGCGGCAGAGAGACCGGCGCGCGGGCCCGGGGCGGCGCGGGGCCTGCCGGGAGCTGCAGTTTCGGGAGGAGCGCGCGGGTCAAAGTGCCAGTTCCGGAGTTTCTGCGACTCACCACTCACTTTTCTCCGCGGACAGCCTTCCGCCGCCGGGGGTCCCCAAGAATCTACCCCAGTTCAGCCAAGGCACCGCCACCGCGTCTCCGCCACCCTCAGCTGGTTCGGCCTTCGCGGGCTAAGACAGTCGTCACTGAACGCGCTGCACTTCCGCTCCCAATTCCGGTCCGCTGGGCGTGGTTCCCGGCGGAAACCATTCCGCAGCAGAGGGGTCCGCGCACTCGGTTCCGGGCCCCACCCTGCCCCTTCGGTCGACCCTGAGCCTGGAGAACGGCACCTCCATCGGCCGCGGGCAGAAACCTGGGGTTCGAGCCGTCTCCTCCCTCGATGCCATGCCCGCCAGAGCCTCCATCCCACCACCCCTCCCGGGGCCAAGTCACCTGGATGGCCTGGACAATTGCACACACCTTCGGATTGGTTTCCCGTGATTCCGAATGGCTGCTCAGGCCCGCGGCCTGGAGAGCTTTAGCTGCTTTTCTCCTTACTGCCCAGGAGCCTTGCTACCCAGTGTCCTGGGACCTAGCACCAGCTGGGAGTCAAAAGAGGGATCCGGGGCCTGCACAATTCTTTAGGGGGTAGATACTTGTCTAAACGACTCCAGCATGTTCCAAAAGGCTGACAGAGACGGCCCACAGCCGGCTGGCAACGCCGACCCCAGGGCTTCTCATGGGCTCTGTTTAATGCCCAGACGTGTGATCGAGCATGCTTCGGAAAGCCGGTGGTTTGCTGGCACCCACCCCATTCATCTGTTCCACCTGGTGAGGGGGCCTAGAGGGTTTGTCTTAGACTCTCAGCAGGGAGCTTGGAGAAGAGCTCACCCCTTCAGGACCATGCATGCAGGCATGGACGGCCTCTGAGATAAGTTCTTTGATTATCCACACTTTACAAAGTACAGGGTTGGTGGTTAGTAGATTGCCTAAAGCCCGCCGCTTCCAGCCAGCAGGCCTGCTCTTTACTTCCACAGCACCCATCTTCTAAAAGCAGAAGTGTTGGTGCTCCCAGAAGGCCAAAGAAGGTAAGGCAGGACCCAGGGACTCAGGGCCACCTGGGTCAGAACCAGAGCTGAGGACCCTGAGACCCTGAGCTGATGCATGAGCTGCCTGGTCACACATCACACATGAGACTGCCCAGCCTGCAATAAATTGTAACTTATAAATGTCATGTACTGAACCTAATTGTGAAAGATGAGAGGAAATGGACACCAAGGCTGGCCATAACCAGCCCCACTCAGCAGGCACAGGATCTTGATCAAGTCAACGAATTTGAATTGAGAGTCTGCTCTTGCAGGTTTGTGGGCTACCTACAGTGGATCAGACACTATGTGGACCACAGAACAGATGTAACCAGTCCCGCACTCCCCATGTATGCACCTCGTGGTGTATACCCATCTGCTGGGCCTGCTTCACACGGACTCTGACCCTTAGGCCTGTCCCTGTCTGTCCCCTTTCAGAGCCTCCCTCACCTCTCTGCAGGCTCCTGAGGTTTCCCACAGTTTTATTCTTGACTCTAAGACTTAGTTGCTTGTGGAGCAAGTGCTTCTCTTGACCTCCGTGGCTCCATCCCTAAAATGGGAATGACACTTCATCCATTTGACTTTGCAGGCCCAAAGTTAGACAAGATGGTCACTGAAGGAAAGGGCCCACCATTTCTGCAAGGCTCTCCCTTTGGGGACATCAACCCGAACCCTAAGCCCAGAGAGGAGGGGAGGCATGACCCCACACACTCACCAACTCTACCTCTCTTCTCCATCTGGAAACTGGCATTATTGCTGTATCTTACCCTTGAGAAACAGAGCCACAGAAAAGTCAGAAACTCGCTCCCAGTCACACAGCAAGTGGGTGTCAGAGCTGTGGCTGGAACTCCTCTCTATCTCACTTCAAAACCTTTGTCCCTAGACCTCACCACCCCCATTTACTCTCTTTTCTGCCCCAGAATTGACTCGTCCTCTGGGATGCTCCTTGGAGGCCTTCCAGACCGACCCCTACCCCCACTGTTAGGACACACTTTCCCCTCAGCACGGACCTGGGCACACAGAAGGCCCCTCCCAGCCTTGGGTGGCTTTAGTGAAGACCTCTCCAGCCCCACCCTGATGTTGGGGCCCCTCCTCTCCTGCCGTGCCCACTCTGGGGAATGGGGCGTGTCTCCACCATCCCCCTAAGCCTGCACAAAGCCAAGTTGGGGCAGTGGGTCCAAGAGGTAAGCAATGGGTGGGTGGGCATGTGGCTGCAGTGCTCCACCCTGTGTCCCAGGCTGGCCTCTCCCCTCCCCTCCTTCCCTTCCATCCTCCCCTCCCTCTTCTCCTCTTCCTCTGACGGCCTGCCGGAGCCAGCCAGGCTTTCGCACATGCTCTTGCTCGAGCGCGCTCTCTCTCCCCCTCTCTCCCTCTCCCTCTCCGCGCCCGCCTCCCGCCCGCCCTCGCTCCCTCCCCTCCCCAGCACTGCCGCATTCGCCGACTGCAGCTCCAGCCGCCGCCCGCGCCTCCCGGCCTTCCGCAGCCTCCGCGCCGCCAGCACCATGGCCAGCACCCTGTCCGGTAGGCGCCCGGGACGCGGACTTCCTGGGACGGTGGCGGGTCTGAGCTGAGGCCATTGTCTGGCCTCGCCTGAAGCTGGGGCCGGTGGCGGACTCTGTTTTCACATCTCAGACCTCACGCTCTGTAAGGGCGCGGGGCGCGGCCGGGCCGAACCCGCAAAAACCGAGGTTCAGGGCCAACGGGTTGGGAACACCTGGTGCCCCAAGGGCGAGGATGGCGGCGCGGGTGTGGTGGGCGTGGGCCGCTGGGCAGGGGCCGCGCCCAAGCGAGCACCCGGAGCTAGGGCGCATTGCCCCTTCCGCGGCCGCCGTGTCAGGCCGGGCGCGACTGTGGCAGGGTGGCTCCGAGGGTCCGGGCGCGGGATCGTGCCCCCGGGTGGGCGCGCTGGGGAGGTGTGGACAGTGTCCCCCGAGGCGCCTGTCTACCGCAGACCCTGGTCCGACCTCGCCTTGGCGAGGGTGGGGGTTAGGAGGGTAGGACCCATTGCCAGCGAGCCCAGGCCGTATCTGCGCCAATGGAGCGCCCTGGGGGCTTGGAGGGACGCTGCGGAAGGACGAGGGAGGAGAAACCCAGCCGGGAGCGAGCGGAGCCGCGCCCGCGTCTAGCGTGGTCGTCCCCTCCCCTCGCTGCCGCGGGCTTGGGGACCGCTCTGCGACATGGTACCACCTGCTCTGGTCGAAAAAGCCACCGCCCTTTGCGCAGCGGGGTTTGGATGGAGGAGGGGCCGCTGCAGTTTCCAAGTCCTCCCAGCAAGGAGGGGTCTGCCCCTCCCTCCCCCACAGCCCCGCCTCCCACGCTGCGGATCCACTGCCCCCAAGGCTGCGACCCTCCCCTCACACCTGAGCCAGGCGCGGCTCTGGCGGAGGGGTGGACATGGGGCAGTTCCTGCGGGTGACCCTGGGCGTGAGGACATGGGGCTTGCTCCCCCCAGGAACGCTCTGGCCTGTCTGGCCGCCCCGGGACCAACTTCGTCTTTGCACTCCATCGCCAGGGACATCAGGGTAGCGGCTCCCCACCTCCACCCCATTTCCCCCTGGACTCAGAACTCTACTCCCAGCCCACCCTTCCCTCCATTCTGGGGGTCCCCTCTCCCTAGCTAGCCTGATTCTCTCTGGAGTGGCACACAGTTTGGCAGGGCTCCACGCACTCACATGTGCCCTGCCCTGACCAGCTTCTCAGGCCCTGTGGGTCCCAGGCCCCAGGTGACTTCTGCACTTCTCTAGGAGGGGACCACATGTGTCACTGACCACACCCCTCCTGCACACAGTCCATGAGGGTCTTGTCCATCTGGCCTTCATCTGCCCCCTGCTGTCTTGTTGACCTCCTCAGAGATATTGGGCTCAGCTTTGGGCAGGAACTGAGGGTGGTCTGTCCTTCCCGTGGCCAGAGCGCTAGTCCAGTCCCACACTGAGGCAGGGCTTCAGGCCCCGGTCTGTGCCCGAGTGGGGGACAATGAGCAACCACTGGTGGGAGATGCTCTCAGCCTTTTCTCTTAGTAGAAACCCTGCTCAGTAGGTCTCATCTGACAGGTAAGCAGACAGATTAGGTGGTGAAGGGATGCAGCCGAAGCTGCACTGTTGATGACCACCACAGGTGGGCGCAGATGTGCTGACCTCAAAACCCCCGACACGAGCCCTCCTTTGCCAGGCTTTGGGGTGCTGCTGACCATGCTTGGTCCCAGGATTTTTCTGGGTGTCCAGGTTGCTGTTGGTGTGAAAAGGGAAACCATAAGCGCAATCAGTGTTGATCAGCACAGCCACTGCCTCATAGATGTGCCGTGAGCCAGCCTGGAGAACTGCCTCCTGACAAAGTCACGTGGGGATGGGCCTTTCCTGTTTTACTGCCAGGGCTGCCCCAGAGAGAGTGCAGCCCACATGTGTGCATGCCTATGCCCACCTTCATAAAAATTTGATAGGCAGGTGGCTTGACCCAGAAGTGGCTATGTGAGCAGACCAGTAATTGTGGCCAAAATCAGTTTAAGTGAATCCCAGCTATGGCTTCTTGGTTAAAAGAAGTCTCTGATTGGAGTGGCCTCTGGTGCTCCATGCCTCAGTGGCCTGTCTGCCCCAGCTCACTGGTGGGCTTCGTTTGGTCTTGGTGACTAGGGTGAAGAGTCATTGTCTGCTATGACCTTGTAGTCACCACAAGATTGACCTTAGCTTTCTCTTCCTCTGTTGACTTTCCCACCACCTTTCCCTTGAGCATCTGCTGATGGGCTATGTCACTGGGACTCACCTGGGGAGACGTGGCCATCTCTTGGTGTCCTTCCCACACACTCAGCTCTTCACACACTTTTGTAGAGTCTTGCTCATATTTATCTCCTTATGCAACTCTGTTGAGCTGAGAGGGCTCATCCGTGCTCCCTAAGCTCTCAGGCCTCAAGTGCATGGAGGTGATGGTGACAGCGCCTCCCGTGGACTTGTACTGAGAGATGAACAAGGCATTCCAGGAAAGGTGCTTGGCCTAGTGCCTGACAAGAGATAGGTGCCCAGTCCATGCCAGGCAGTGTGACTATTGCAGCCACATTTCCCAGTTTCCTCCCCAGAGGAGGCGAATCTGCTGGCGCGTCCTGCCATGCTGGGCTCCCAGCACGTTGCACGTGACTCTGACTAGTGAGAGGGGCAGCCTGGGGGGCAATGAGCACCATCTGCCAGGAAGCAATTCGCAGCAGCCTCCAGGACCCTTCTAGGGGTGAGTGGGCATCTGTGGGTGCCCTGCCTTCCCAGTTCTGGATAGACAACCCCCCACCCCCACCACCATGAGACTCCCAACAGGAAAGTGCAGCCAGAGGCTGGGGCTCATGATCAGGCTCCCATCCTGTCATGCTGTGTGACTCTGGGTGGGCTCCTTGCTCTCTCTCTCTCTCTTTTTTTTTTTTTTTTACTCAGTAGAAATGAATCTGACAATGGCTGGCTGGTCTTGAGGGTCAGTTGGGAGTATGGATGTAATGCACCCACCTCAGGGGTGCTGCCATTATGGTTACCATGCCACTGTAGGCTGATCTGGTGCCTTCTCACTCTTGCTCACCTAGGATCTAAGCATCCAAAAAGCCGATGTGCGTTTTTGCATATTTAACATTTAGTATGAAGAGGAAGAGAGAGATGAAAGCAATCCAGCTCATGCCAGAGATTTGCTTATAACGACTCCCTGAAGTCAGTGATGGGGAAGGAAGAGAAAGGGGGAGAAACAGCATGCCCCCAAGCTGCAGAGGGGCTTCCTGGCTTGAGTTCTGTCGATGGAGAGGTGCCTAGATGGGTCTGGGCCTCAACCTCTTCCCTCTGCAGTGAGACATGAGCTTTAAGCCCCTCCAGTTCTGAGGACACAGGTGTAACCTCCTGTGTTGTGAGCTGCTGGGCCCAGCCCTGCTCTCCAGCCCCATGTGTGAGCTTCCCCTTGCTCAATGTCTGAAAATTTGCCAATTTCCCTCCCTGCTGTCCAGTTCCCTCCAACTTGCAGCCAGACCACACAGCAAGCCTCACTCCCAAGCCCCCTTCTGGGGGGGGGTGCCCCTTCCCACTTGGCTACTTAGGATGAGTCTTCTGGGAAGGAAGCTCCTCATGAGCCATCAGCCCAGGAGAAACCAACCTGGGGAATCTCCATGACCATCAGACGCTGAGCTGCATCCCTATTACCAGCTGCAAGACATAGTCAGTCCCTCACTTCCTAGTTGGACACTTGTCCCCTGGGCTGGTCAATGCCCTCAGAGAGCTCTGACTTTAGTCTCCAGTACCCCCCCCATCCTTCTCCCCTGTGTCCTAACAATGCGGTGCTCACACCTGCCCAAGCTCCACATCCTGCACCCTAAATTGGTGCCAACCTCCCTTCATACTCAGGCAACAGGTACTTGGAAGGGTGTCCCCTGACATTTGTCCATAAACTTGTTCTTCCTCTGTAATAAATGTGCAGCTCATTTTCCTGGGAAAACTTCAGGCTCAAGGTAGAGAGGAGCTTGAGCACCTGTGAGGCTCCAAGCTCTTGGCATGTATGGTAAACCCATTTGGAGGTTTCCACATGTGGTGAGGAAGGGCTACCTGGAAGGTGGCAGAGGCAGTGTCTGTTGCCAGGGAGGCAGGTGGTGGCAAGGTCAGCCAAGCCCCTTCCTTCCTGGCCTCTCCCAGGATCCAAGTATGCCCCCCTGACCCAGACCCCTTCTTGCTCCCCTCCTCACCCTCCCTCTGAGCACAGGGCTGTCTATTTCCTTAGCCTTTCCAAATGCCCAAATGTCTCCTGGTCTGCTGCTTCTGAAGAGCTGGCTTTACCCGGTCTTACACCCTCTAACTCCCCAGCACGTTAGTATGAGGTAACTCTCTCCCCCTTTTTAAAATTAACTTTTAGGGGACGCCTGGGTGGCTCAGTCAGTTGGGCGTCTGCCTTCAGCTCAGGTCATGATCCCAGGGCCCTGGGACCGAGTCCCGCACTGGGCTCCCTGCTCTTCGGGGAGTCTGCTTCTCCCTCCGCCGCTCCCCCCACTCGTTCTCTCAATTTCTCTCTCTCTCTCTCAAATAAATACTTCAAAAAACTTTCTAAAAACTCTATGATTCTAAAAAATAAATAAATAAAATTAACTTTTAATAGCACAAGTAATACACAAATAGATTATGCTTGTAAAAAAAATAAAACTGAGGGGCGCCTGGGTGGCTCAGTTGGTTAAACCGCTGCCTTCAGCTCAGGTCATGATCCCAGGGTCCTGGGATCGAGCCCCACATCGGGCTCTCTGCTCATGCAGGAAACCTGCTTCTCCCTCTGCCTGCCGCTCCCCCTGCTTGTGCTCTCTCCCTCTCTCTCTCTCTCTCTGTGTCAAATAAATAAATAAAATCTTAAAAAAAAATAAAAAAATAAAAAAAATAAAAAATAAAACTGACATGTCAAGCCAAAATCCCCTTTGAGGCCTGCACACATCTAGCCCGCTTCCCTCCCAGCCTCCTGAAGCCAATGACCAAGGTACATATCTCTGCCCTGCTACCCCTCCACGCCCCTTAAAGGCTCTCCTTGCTGCCTGGCCAGGATTCCTCTGTGCTCCCTTTACAGTCTCTTGGGCTCTCTCCAGAAGAGTCTGGGTCATCAGGACGTTTAGATCCAATAACATCATTCTCTGCACTGGTTGTGGAGAAACCCTGCTCACCATGAGCTGCTCTCTCAGACAAGGGCCTGATAATTCTGTCCTGTGTCCTGTTTCTACACCAACACTTTCCCCAACTTCACATTAACTCAGTTTTAAAACATTGTCTTGTGTGAAATTTGATCAGGAAGTTTCTTTTTTTAAGATTTTATCTATTTATTTGACAGAGTCAGAGAGCAAAGCCGGGGGAGGGGGAAGCAGCAGAGGCAGAGGGAGAAGCCAACTCCCACCGAGCAGGGAGCCTGATGTGGGGCTCAATCCCAGGACCCTGAGATCATGACCTGAGCCGAAGGCAGACGCTTAACCGACTGAGCCACCCAGGTGCCCCAGTCAGGAAGTTTCTTGTCCAAATTTGTGTCTGCTCCTTGGAAGACCCCTTCATGGAAGCCAGACTCCCTCTCTGGAGTGTCTCTCTGGAGACCTATACCAGCTTCTCCAGCTAGGGTGGCAGGAGGATGGGTCTCTGACATAGTCTAGGGGACCTGCTGGAGTGGTGTAAAGAACACAGACCACCTGGGATTGCACTTGAGGAGCTTTGGGCAAGTCACCCTGGCCACTGGGGCCCAGTGTCATCTCAGTTGAGCCCAGGGACAGTCTTGGGCTTGAAGATTGTTAAGCATTAGTGAGACACTGGGCCAGCGTGTCTACCTTAGGGCCTGGCTTGTCATGAATGGGCCACAGAAAGCTCAGTTATTTCCATTCTGACAGTGGGCTTCTCCCCTTCACCTGACAGGACTCAGGGCCTCAACAGACAAGTGTACGTCCTTTTCAGGTTGGACACGGGGCACACTGGCTGTGGGCAGTTGCTCTGCAAGACTAGAGGGCAGGCTTTGGTGCTGAACGGACAGCGCCCTACCTTTTGGCTCTGGATGGGCAGGGAGTGTGTGCCTGGTGATGGCCTGGTTTCACCTGGGGTGGCTGCAATGCCATCAGGGTAAATGGGGGGGGCGGGGGTCAGACAGGAGGAAGTCTGACAGCTTCACCCAGGTGTACAGACCAAGAAAGTGCTGCTTGCAGAAGCTCCACACCTGTGCTGGCCCGGTCATGAGTGTGGTGGTTAACATCTGTTAAGAGGGAAGGGGCAGGAAGGAGGGAGGGACGTGGAGGGCCAGGGACGGTGGGCCAGGAAGATACACAGTGACAAAGGGTCACAGAGACATGCAAAGAGAGAGAGAGAGCTGAGCCAGGAAGACAGAGGGGTGGCCAGAGACCAACAAACACACAGCCATGCAGAGGAATGAGACGGAAATGCCGAGAGAGAAAAGGAGAAGGAAGGGGGTACTAGGAGAACAATGCAGGACAACCCACAGGAAGGTGTGCCCAGGGACAAGGTCAGCTTCTGGGAGTGGGGAGAGGGAGAGGGGAGCTGTAGAGAGGCAAGGGTAAAGACAGCAAGATACACAGGCTTCCAGAGAGACACAGCATGGGGAGCACTGGGGAGGAAAAGACAGAGGCAGCCAGGGAGGTGAGGTTGGGAGGTGGCCATGGCGCCCTCTCATGCTGGCCTCATGCCCACAGCCTACAAGGAGAAGATGAAGGAGTTGTCAGTGCTGTCGCTCATCTGCTCCTGTTTCTACTCGCAGCCGCACCCCAACACCATCTACCAGTATGGGGGTGAGTGTGCCCCGGGCAGCTGCCAGGTCCTGCTTGGTCAGTGCCTGCCTCCTCCTTTACTTGCTCCCTGCTCCCATGGCCTCTCTGACCACCCCCCTCAGCTCAGCTGGCTTCCGGAGAGGGAGTCTCCGATGGGAGGAAGCCTTGGGTGCTCAGGCCTGGGGGTCCCACATGAGCAGCTGTGCTCCCTCCCTCAGCCCTTCATTTGGATGTGTACTGGGGACATGGCCCCTCAGAGTCCTGAAGCCCAATCTGGTTTTGCAGACATGGAGGTGAAGCAGCTGGACAAGAGGGCCTCTGGCCAGAGCTTCGAGGTCATTCTCAAGTCCCCTTCTGACCTGTCCCCGGAGAGCCCAGTGCTCTCCTCTCCCCCCAAGAGGAAGGACACCTCCCTGGAGGAACTGCAGAAGCGGCTGGAGGCAGCTGAGGAGCGAAGGAAGGTGAGGAGCCCACCCCTGCCCCCAGATCCTGACGAAGGTGGCCAGAAGGCCTCATTGGGCAGACAGGGTCCCCAAGGCACAGGGTGCTCCAAGCCCCTGCTTGGCTGTTGGCCTGGAGTGGAGAGGGTCTCATGGTTCCCTGGATCTCCTCTTGGGAGATCAGAATAGGACAGGGAGGTGAAGGGTTCCCCAATGGCAGCCAGCTGGAGAGGCACAGGAACCAGATACTGTTGGAGGGGGTGTCCTTCGCCATGGCCAGGAGGGGGCCCTGGGACATGAGTCTGGGCTGGCATCCTTCTCCAGGGTAGAGAAGTGAGTGAGAAGAAAGGGACTCCCATATGTTGGGGGCTGCAAGCCCACACCTGCTCGGAGCTCAGGGGGCCCCTGGGAGAAGGGGGGCATGCGCCCCAGGCTTCCCCCTTGTTCCTTCCCCCCACACCAGCCCCACGGAGACTGAAACACACACAAAAGGAGTACTCTCAGGAGTGCAGTCCTGATGCCCAAGCCCATTGGGCAGGGACACTGGCTCCAAATCCCTTATAGCATGTCCCAGTGAAACCTGGGGACCCAGGCCTCCTAGGATTAACTAGCAGTGACTGGCACGTGGGTGGGCCCAGCAGCCTTGTGAAGGAGCTGAGAGCCCTTGCGTCTCTGACTCTCACCTCTCCTCCAGGCCTCCAGGCAGCTCCTCCCCCACTAGGGCTGGACAGTGCAGCAGTACCAGCAGTCCCAGTCTCCTCGCTCCAACTAGTCCCTTCTCCAGCAGCCCTGGGGACCCTTACACAGTCCCCCGCACCTCAGGGAATTCAGAACCCAGTGCATATCAAGCACCTACTTTGAGCTCAGCGGGCAGACGTTTGAGTAGGAGATGGTGCAGGTTCCATGACAGCCCATAAGTTTTGAATTTGTTCTGCTCCTCCAACATTCCCTGAGTGCACCACGGGCTTTGGAGGCGGTAGCGAGCGGGACAGAGCCCGTCTTGTTGCGTGGGCGCCCTCAGCCTAGCAGGAGGGACAGCTCCGCGGGCTGACGACGGGTAGAAAGGGTGAGCAACTTCCGGTTTGTTTGGGGCTGGGGGTTCTCCTGGCACGCGGACCTTGCGGTGCTAAAGCCCAGGAAGTCCCAGGCAAACTGGGACCAGGTGAATACCCTCGCCAACGGCAGAGCAGTGTAGACCCGACGTCCAGTGGGCAGCAGGTAGCCGGCTCGGGCTGGGCAGCAGGGCAGGGTAACGGGCACTGGGCGGAGCCGAGACAGCGCGCGGGGAGGCCAGGCTTGCGTGGGGCGCTGGGGGCAGGGGCCCGGCCGCCGCCCACGCGCGCGCCCCTGTCTGCCCGCACAGACGCAGGAGGCGCAGGTGCTAAAGCAGCTGGCTGAGCGGCGCGAGCACGAGCGCGAGGTGCTGCACAAGGCGCTGGAGGAGAACAACAACTTCAGTCGCCTGGCGGAGGAAAAGCTCAACTACAAGATGGAGCTCAGCAAGGAGATCCGCGAGGCGCACCTGGCGGCGCTGCGCGAGCGGCTGCGCGAGAAGGTGCGCGCCGGGGCGGGGCCAGGAGAACTCGGGACCAGGATCGAGGAGGGGGCGGGGCGAAGGGCGGGAGCGGTGGGTCTTGAGGGGCGGGGCTCCGCGCGGGGGGCGGTGCCCGGGGCGGGGCGGATCCCGGGTAGCAGGAAGTGGGGGGGCTTCGCCTGCGTTTATTGGGCGCCTGCGGCCTCGGCCTCCGCCCCCAATCCGGTCCTGGTGGCGCACGGCCAGTGACCGCAGTAATAAACCGATAGTCATTACTTTTGAATGCTGCGAAAGACGCTGGTTTGAGCTAGAAGAGGGGAGGAGCTGCTTTAGGCTGGGGGGCCAGGGAAGCCCCCGGGGGTCCCCCCCGTCCTTTGGTGGTCCCTTCCCACTGCACCACCAGCGCTCTCGCAGCCCGGCTGCTCCCTGTCGGGCATGGAGACGGTCCAGAGTGAGGCGAGGCCCCGCCCTGGCCGGAGCCCCCTTGGAGTAGCCTCTGCTTCAGCCCGTGGGGTGGGACCAGGTTGGTGCCAGGGGGTACCCTGGAGCTTGCAAACCCAAGGAAGTTCCCTGGAGTCACGGCTCTCTCTCTGGTTTGGGTGCCAACCTGTTGCGCTGAGGGCCAGCCCCCGCACTCAGGCCACACTTCGAGGAGAGGACATGGGCCTCCCCCTGCTCTCTGTTGCTCCTCCATCCTGGTTGTTAAGGGGTCCCATTGGTCGCTTCTCCTGCACTTAGGAGGGTCCCTGAAGCCTGGGCTTGGGGGGAGGGGCAGCCCCCCCAGCCGCCACGGCAGGCGCAGGGCCTCGCCCACCTCCACCTGTCCTCGCAGGAGCTGCACGCAGCTGAGGTGCGCAGGAACAAGGAGCAGCGAGAGGAGATGTCGGGCTAAGGGGCTGCGGAGCAGAGGCGCCTGGATCCTGAGAGGAGACATCAACACATGCGGGTTCTGGTTTCGTCTTGTGCCACTTTGTCTAGATGCAACTTTTGCTCCTGCCCCTTCCCTGCCCCGCACTCCCAGCTCCCGCTTCTCTTTCCGCTCTCAGCCATCCAGTCCTCCGCAGGCTCCCCGTCCAGGAGCCGCCAGGGCGTGGCACACAGTCCCTCACTTCAGGCACCAGGCCAGGCAGTGGCTGGGTCCCCTGTTGGTGGCCCTCTCAGCAGATGTGGTGACAACTTCAATAAATCCAGTGGTGGTAGCAGGAACATGTGGGTCCTTATACTGGCTCATCCTGTGAGCACCTTGTACTTAGGGCACGTCGTCTGAGCCAGCTCCCTGCCGCTGACAGGCAAAGGTGACACCACCTGCAAGGCCTTCAGTGGCAGGGGGCGGAGGAAGGAAGAACGACCTCTGGGCCATGTGTGGCCAGGTCAGCCATGGTGCCATCTGTGCAGTGGAATGTTTTGGAATGGGTGGGTAGGGGTCCTGAGACCACCTGGCCTGCAGTGGGCAACTTGGGGGGGAGGGTGGGATGTGGCCTGGCCTGAGTCTTCAGGGGAGTGGGCCTTCTGCCATGGTCTACAGGGTTGTGGGCTGCACGGACACCTCTTGCTGGCCCCTCCTCCCAGGAGTGCCCGCCTCCTAAGAACGTCTGGCCCAGTACGCATGTGGGGAAAGCCCTCCTCCATCATCACTCCTTTTCTCCCCCTAGGCTTTACAGACCCTTGGAGGACCCCATCTTTAGAGCCCTTTGGAGTCTTGGCCCCTTCCTGTGCCCTCACCCTGGCAGAATGATGCTCCCATGATGCTCCGGGCCATGGGGCTTTCAGGCTAACCTCTGGACAGGTGTGGCTAGGTGTGAGTGAGTGGCAGCCACAAGTGCCCCTCAGGGAGCAGACAGCAGGGCGAGTAGGAGACCAGCTGCCTGCAGATTCAGGTGTTGGGGGATGGGATTCCCAAACCACCTTCCTACCTAGTCCATCCTCGACTTTCTTGACCTGTACTCCCCCGCCCCGCCCCGGCTCCAGGCCTCTCCTGCCAAGACCTTCCTGGACTGGGCCCCTTCTCCTCCTCCCGATTCCCAGCACCGGCCTTTGAGGACTGTCAGCTGCTGGCCATGGGGGGTGTTCAGTCTTTGGGCCTTGGCAGCACCCTCCCCTTGTCCCGTGGCAGCCCCATCCCGCAGCTGAGTACTGAGGGCAGGGTCCCTGCTGACCATCCTCTGAGTGGAAAGCATGAGGGGACAGACTGCAAGTTCTTGCAGGACCCAGAGCCAGCACTTCAGAAACCAGATGGGTGGCAGCCCCCTGGGGCCCCTGGCTTCCATCCTACAGAAATCTATGCCAGTGCACTCCCAGGGCCCAGCCAGAGAGCACAGGTGAATGCTGATCCCCTACCCCAGGCTTAGGGGGAAGGAGGGCCCCATGCCCGCTCTCCTCGTCCCACCCACACAGCCTCTGGGGGAGTGACAAGCCAGGATTGGAACCCAGCTGTCCCACACGCCGCTCCTGTGGGACTCAGAAAGGGACGCGCAAAGAGAAGGGAGGGCTGGATTTCCTTCAGCAGCGGCAGCTCTCTCATAGTGGAAGCCTAGTGTGATATGTACCCATCTCATCCACGTAGTGCAAGTGAACTTAAAATTAAATCAAATGAATGATTAAAGACAAAAAACCAAAGCCTGTGTGTTTCAGAAGCGGCTGAACTGCCCCGTGTGCATCCTGCCTCTGTGGGGTCAGAGGGGCTGCAAGGCCATTGCTGGAGGGGGCGCGAATGCTACTAAGTAGCTCGGGACTGAAGCTGGTTATCAGGCTTGTTCTTACCACAATTGCCGATAGTTCTAATGACAACGGAGGCGTTAAGGAATGAGTGTGTAAATGACACACAAGCCCGTTTTCCCCTCTGGAGCCCCAGGAGACAGTGGGGGTGTGAGGGAGGAGGAGGCAGGGCCCACAGGGCAGGTGGGGCTGTCCCCCCTCTCCCCAGGCCCGAGGCCTCCTGCTGGCCTGGGCTCTGGGCCCCAGGCTGCTGCTAACGGAGAACACATGAGGGTCTGAGGTCCGAGGCTTGTCCTTCTCACTGCAGTGTCCTGTGGGTCTTGCTCAGATGTGGAGTGGGTCCTAGCAGGTCCCAGGGGTGTACCCCGTGGCTCTGTGGCCCCCACTAGGCAGCTGATTGTTCACAGACACAGATCTGGCTCCAAGGTGGGGACCTAGAGTGGCAAAGAGAATAAGCAGACATCCTGACTCACGCTGGTGGCCTGCCTGTCCCATGGGACCCAGATAGCCAGTTGGGGTGCCCAGCAGGGACCCCTGTGCTAGGGAGGAGGCACGCTTGGCACATGTCCATGCAGGTTATGCTCAGGCCTCCACATGGGCCTCAGGTCCAGGTCCTGGATAGGTGCCTGCTCACTAGGATCCAGAGAGACCCCTCAGCTCTCCCCCACACTCACCGACCTCTCCTGGGGCAGGCGGTCCTGGCTACTTCCCCAGGCTCCAAGGACCTCTCACCATATCCCCTCCTTCCCCTGCCCAGGGAGAGGTGGGAAAGTCAGAATCTAGGACACACAGCCACCCAAAAGACAGAGACCTCAGAAACCTGCAAGAGGAAAAGCTGGGAGAAAGGTGGGAGAGAAAGGGAGTGTGTTGTTTTTATGAGACGTGAGTTCTGCATGCTGGTATCCTGGGCACATGGACACACGCCACATACAAGCACATGCCTGGCATTCCCAGAGGACCAGGCTGATCACAGGCCAGGGCTTACTCTTAGGGGACCCTAAGCAGGCATTAGGGGGCAGACGGCATTTGTAACAGTCACCACGTGGAGCCTCTGACTTGGGCAAGGATGGAGAACCCTTCACAGACAAATCACACTTTCCCTAACAACAAAAAAGCAAAGGTGGGAGTCCTTCTGGGGAGCCAATCCTGTATTATATATGCTGTGTCACAAATTACCTCAAGCGGTGGCTTAGAACATCACGCCTTATCTCACCATGTCCTTAAATCGGGAATTCAGGAGCTGGGCAGTCGGGCTCAGGGACTCTCCCGAGGTTGCAGTCGGGATGTCGGCTGAGGCTCTGGTCCCCCCAAGGCTGGACCAGAGTGGAGGATCCTCAAGTCAGCTCACCCACACAGAGTCAGCAGGCGGCCTTGGTCCTCCCGTGTGGTCGCTCCCCAGGGCTGCATGGGTGTCCTCAGCACGTGGCTGCTGGCTCCCAAGGCCGAGCTGTCAGAGAGGGAGAGGGGGCAGAGTCCCACGCATTCTCCATGTCAGAAGCACGTCACTGAGAAGAGCCAGCCCTCAAGAGGAGGCAGACTCCACCTGTGAAGTGGAGGGATGAAAAGAATCTGTGGGCATATTTTATTATTTTTTTTTATTTTTTTTTTAAAGATTTTATTTATTTATTTGACAGAGAGAGAGACAGCGAGAGCAGGAACACAAGCAGGGGGAGTGGGAGAGGGAGAAGCAGGCTTCCCACCGAGCAGGGAGCCCGATGTGGGACTCGATCCCAGGACCCTGGGATCATGACCCGAGCCGAAGGCAGACGCTTAACGACTGGGCCACCCAGGCGCCCCAGTGGGCATATTTTAAAACCACATCAGACGTGCTGCCTTGAGTGACTTTGTGTGTTCTGGACACAGCTGGTGTTCACTCAGTGTCTGGGGGCTGCAGTGGGCCCCCAGCCCCCAAATACGGCATCTAGCAGCACCGGCCAGATGGTAGCCCAGAAAGCTGTCTATCCCACACAGGCCCCCTGCCGCTGTCCCATGCTTCCTGCCGGGCAGGCTCAGGGGAGGTTCTCTCTCTCTTTGCTGAAGATGTGTTGCTAGTTCACATTTCTAGCCATGTCCCAGGACTGCTGTGACAACTGCCACACACGGGGGGCTTAAAACATCAGCAACACGTTCTCTCACAGTTCTAGGGCCAGAAGCCCCAAATCGAGGTGTCGCAAGGCCGTGCCTCCTCTGAAGCCTGTATTGCAGGGTCATCCTGGCCTCTCCTAACTCTGGCTGTCGGGAAAGGTGGTCTTTCCACCCCAAACAAAACCTCTTAGCAATGGGCTTTGGGCCTGGAACCCTTCTTTCCAACAAATAAGGAGCGCACAGAACTTGTACAGGACATCCTTCCCTGTCGTAAGGTCCGTGAGCAATCTGTTGTCCTGTTGTCGTGCTTGGGTGAGCGCCCCAGGTGAGCACCCTCAGGTGAACACCCCCAGGTGAGTGGCCTAGGTGAGCACCCTCAGTGAGCATCCCAGGTGAGCACCCCAGTGAGCACCCTCAGATGAACACCCCCAGGTGAGGACCCCAGGTGAACACCCCCAGGTGACCACCCCCAGGTGAGCGGCCTAGCTGAGCACCCTCGGTGAGCACCCCAGTGAGCACCCTCAGATGAACACCCCCAGGTGACCACCCCAGGTGAGCACCCCCAGGTGAGCACCCCCGGTGAGCACCCTCAGGCATGCCCCCCAACTTTCAGTACTCAGACTCCAGGGGGTTGGGTCTCCCCACTGCAGCACAGGAGGGGTGCATGCACAGGGACCAGCTGCCCAAGCAGACCTTGTGCGTTTCTTCCTTGCATGAGTAAAGCTGCTCTGTCAGCACTTGACTGTTTCACGTTTTCCTTGGCAACTCCAAGGCCAGGAGTGGGCAAAAGTGTTGGGACTCTTACCCCAGGTGGCTGGTGCTGTGATGAGCTTTGCTCTCCTCCACTTGGCAGGGGTCCTTCCCTGGGATTGGGGACCAGAGCTGGTGTTCTGCAGGACACTTGCAATCTTTGGCGTCCGTTGTCTTGTGCATGTGTCATGCCAATCTCTGTGGTCACATGGCTGCCTCCCCTTTTTGTGTGTCAGTCTCTGTGGGACACCAGTCATTGGATTGGGGCCCCCCCTAACCCAATATGACCTCATTTTAGCTAATTATACCTGCAACAACCCTATTTCCAAATAAGGTTCATTCTGAGTTACTGGGAATTGAGATGTCAACATTATCTTTGGGGGACATGATTCAACCAAAACCAGAAGCTGTAGATATATAATTCATAGCTTTATTTTATTTTTTAAAAGTAATCTCTACACCCAGCGTGGGGCTTGAACTTAGAACCCTGAGTTCAAGACTCGCAGGCTCCACTGACTGAGCCAGTCAGGTGCCCCAGTATAATTAACTTTAAAGCATTCATGCATTTATTGGTGTATTTTAGTGAGTGCTTACTACATGTGCCCCTCACTCTAGAGAATGTTGCTGATTTGAAAGCATAGCTCCTGTCCCGTGAGAACCCCCATGC